ATGAAGCCCTGTTGGGTTAATTAATAAAGGCCCATGGTTATGTGATTATTTAAATGATCATTTTTGTATAATTACAAATATATATTTATTATATATAAATATAATTTTTTAATAAGTATTATGGAAGGATATATATATAGATATTTATTTATGGATATATATAGATATATATGATTTAATTAATTATGGAAGGCTTATATATATATATATATATATATATATATATATATATATATATATATATATTATGTAAAGATTATTATTATTTCTTTTATATGGTAGTTATAATTGGAAAAGAATTAAGGTATTATTGTGGTTATATATTCACATAAGATTAATTTATTAAAAAGATTTTTCACATTAGAAAAATAAGAGAGGTAGAAAGAGAAGAAAAGGAGGTCGATAAAGAGGAAGCCGGATCAGAGAAAGAGGATGCCGGAATTGGAAAAGACAATCAAAGCTAGAATCATCGGTTTCGTTACGAAACCTTCAGGCGAGTTTTCTCTATTTTTCTTCTTGGAACTCGTAAGGATTTCACCTTAACTATCAAGGCCTTAGATTTAATTTATTAATTTAAATCAACGAATTAATCTAAAGCATAAGGTTAAATTTATTTGATTAAATCGTGGTTAGGTCGGATGAATTAAAAGCATAAATTATTATATTTTTATTCTTTTGGAATTTTGAATTTTAATTGGTATATGTATGTGTTGCATATATTTTAAAAATTAATTTATAGGCTTGATCTGGACCCAAGAGGGTTAATTAAGGCTTCTGAAATTTTATAGATTTTTCTATAATTTTTTGGGGTTTTTCTGGAATTATTGTATATTTTTCGATGTATTTTTAGAATTGTTTTATTAAATTTCTGGGTAAAAATATATAACCTATTAATCTGTTAGAGGCTACTATTGATCGGCGCGTCCTAAGGGATTTGGATTTGGTGTGGGCGTGCGCATAGAAAAAGGGTGCACACGCTGATCCATTAAATTATTTAAAGGTAAGTGGATTAATCCGGTGCATCGCGACGCATGAAGGGTTGGTGCGCATATGCAACTAGGCCGTACAAGTAGTTTAGTCAATTATGGATCGATTTGGTGTAGTGCAATCCATGGAGAGTGGTGCACACTCAGATCTGAACCATTAATTGTGACTTGATGGAGGAGAATAATCCAGTATGGTTGCACTTAGGCAGCAACCGAGAGCTCAGCCAGTCACAAGAAGACACATCAACCAGAAGGGGTTATCAGGCGTGTGTGCAACGCATGAGAGCACGTAGGGGTGCGTGAAGACACGTGGCTGCTTGTGGTGATGCGTGGAGGCACGTGCAGAGGGTTTGGGCGCGTGTGGCAGCACGTTCGGAAGAGTTTCTAGTTCCGGGATAGTTTTATGGGGTTCGGTGAATTTTCAGAGTTTATTTTAAGCTTATTAAGGTGGAAATTAACCATTAAAGATTGTGTTCTTGGTGTTCTGAGAGCTTTAGAGTGTTACTAAGATATTTAGTAGCATTTAGCTGGCATAAATATAATTAATTAAATATTTTGTGTATATATACGGTTGATTTAATTTATGATTCGAATAGAATGAGGTACATACATATATTTATATATATGTATATATGATTTTAAATAATCAAAGATTATTAAGGAAGGTGTTATACATACATATATATATATGTATATTAAATAATATATGTGTATAGGCATATATTATTTAAGATTATAATTATTATTATTTAATATATCTGGATAGGCTAGTTATTAAATTAGTGATATGCTTATAATTTACATGAGATGAATTATAGGCATGGATGAGTTGCCATAGGCGTAAATATTTTGCCTAAGTATTTGTATGAATAAAATACATACATGGGAAGTATAGATAAGTTGCTAGTTTAAAAATATAAATATATGTATATATATATAAATATATATTTGTAGAGGCATGGTTAAATTGTTAATGTATAAATAAATATATTTGCGGAGGTATGGTTGAATTGTTAAGGTATAAATAAATATACTTAAGGAGGCATGGTTGAATTGCCAATATATACATAAATATATTTATAATGGCATAATTTATTTGCCAAAGCATAATTAAATTGCTATATGTTAGATGATTAAAATTTCATTTATGGTTATCGTATGTGTAAGTTGGATTAGGATTAAATATTCTTATATTAGAATAATCTAGTACTTATAGGTAAATCATTTATTTTATTATATTAATAAAACAATACTGGTGGAGACATGGATGATTTGTCAAAGCTTGGATATTGAATATGTGATTTAAATAATTACAATTATTATTAGGGATTGGATTAAATGTATTATTCCATTAATTATGTTTTATTATTTAAATGGTTTAATAATCATTTAGGATGGAATTAAGGTTTAATGAACTTTTCTTTAAAAGAAATGGTGGATTGGTCTAGGTATGATTAATATTTAATCATTATTTATGAGTTTTGAAAATTAATTAACCTAGTAATAGATGTAGCTTTTTATATTATATATAATTATTTATATATATGCGTATCATTATATATTAAAGATAAAAACTCTATTAAAAATAGTTTTAGTCAGAGATGATTTGTTTATTGGTTTTCAAAGGCCTAGTAAAAAGAACTTTTTCGTGGGTTTAACCCACGATTTATTTCTTAGGTTATTAGAAGTTCTAGTCTCGAAGTTGAAGATCGGCACCTTGGAGACTATCATTCATCTACTCATCTTATTTACTTTTAAGTAGTATTATTATTTATTGGATAATGTTTTTAGAGGTCCTTAAATTGTGGGATTCCCAAATTGTAATCAAGGTTTGGAGAAGCATTAAATGGAATTTTTTATTTAATAGATTTTCCTTCAGCAAGTTATTTATTTTTTTCATTTCTTTTTGTAATCTTTGTTTGTTTAAATACTTTAATTGTTTTAATATTCATTGATTTTGTGCATGGATTTGATCAATCAGTGTTATGAAATTAGGGGTATCACAGAAGCTACTAGAAACAGTTTCCTAATCGGTTTTGGAAGCAAGAAGACTTGAGGAAAATGTTGAAGATTTGGAAAAGAAGTTGTACCTACTATTTTAGAGTTGAAGACATATATGGTAACTCCTTTGAGGCAAGTTGGAGAATACTTGTCCAATAAGGAATTGAGTTTTGAAGACTCTATAAATAGAGATAGGTATGCGAGGTTTAGAGAGATGTGAGAAAAGATATAAGGGATTTAAGGGTGGGTTTGTGAGGAGAGGGGAGAGTGTATGTAATTTCTAAGTGTATACACGTGAGTGAGTGAGTGAGGTTTAAATATGTGCTTGTATATTCTTTTTCTTAATTCATAATAGTGAAATATCTCTCTCCCATGGACGTAGACCTAAAGGTGGGTTTATGCGTAAATGTGTGATTGTTATTTCCATATATGCTTGTATTGATGTTTGTGATGAAGGAGGAATTTAACTCTCAATAACAGCCTATCGTTGAATGGGTTGGAGAGAGTTAATTGTTCTCTAATGATTTGTTTTTAATACTGTTCCAAGAAATTGAATTTATAAACAAAGGTTTGTGTTAGAGTGGTTATAGATTATTCTTCAGATTTTGCTAAGATTTGGCATTGATTTTCTTAATATTATGTCCCCATCATCAAAAGCGACTGAGAACTGCATAAATATTAGCTCCCTTTTGCGATATAGATTTTATTAATTTTTAACCTCCATTGTTTCTGATTTTATTAATTTTTATTAGTGATTCATATGTTCATGCTTAATGACAAAACATGGTAAATTAAATGATACCAGAGTTTTCAATATAAAGTAAATGTTCTCACCTCATTCAGTCCATACGATTGTTTTTTTTTCCCGCAAGTATTCAGTCATGTTTGTACTGCTTAAGTCCTTGTTGATGTATTAAATCATTGAAAAAATAAAATTTTTTGTTTAAAAAAATTAAAATAAAATAAAAAACAAAAAAAATCAACTGAAATTGATGAACAGAACCAAATCGGACCAAGCCAAACCAAATCAGTTTTTGCACTTTAGTTTGGTTTGGTTCCATAAAGATATAGTTTGGTCTGGTTTTAAAAATGATAGAATCATTATAAATGATTTGGTCTCAAAAAATTTCTAATCTAGTTCAAATCGAAATGTATGCACCCCTCTTATTATTATTATTATTATTTTAATTTTTTAACACCATCTCCTAAGTTGCCTACAAAAGAAAGGCTTTTTGGTCTATCAAACATTACAAACAATTTCCAATTTTTTAATTTGAAAACAACGAAATCCAGATCAACTAGGTGACAAGATTGGAAAAGGTCAAGGAAAAATCTGGAGTTGACCAAAATTGGAGGTAAACTGGTAAAGTACCTGCAATTTAGCCAACAATCTCGGCACTGTCAAACCTCCACCAAGTGTATTAAAAAAAGAAAAAGAAAAAATGATTAGTAGACTAAAGTTCGTGATACAGAGTTCGAGATTCTCTCGGACTAACCCCCAATTATAGTAGTTATACAGAATTTGAGAGTCTAAAATTATGTGAGTAAAAAATGACATGTTATATTTAATAATATTATCCTACTCATATAAAAAATAACATATATCTAATTTTCAAATTACTTATCATTTATTCATCCAACTTTTTTAGTTGTATTAGGAATGCCATCATCATAACATTGCTATGAATGATGACATCATTTGCTCAATGAAGTCACATTAATTCCATAGTTGGAGCTATGTCACTAGGAAAATATATATCAAATCCCTTTGGGAGGTCGCTTCAAATGCTCACAAGTTCCTGAGATACCCAAATGATTTTAGACCAAACCAAACTAGAAAGGACACAAGTAGTTCACAGCTAGTTCAAAAAAGAATCCGAAGACTCTGTCCTGCCACAAGAAGGTTTCCCATAATTCCTTCTCATCTGTACATGCTCGAGATGGCAGATCAGTGCTCATAATGGAACATTTGTTTACCCTTTTCATGATAAAAGAATGGAAGAGAACAGATCATACAACTAAAACAATGATGATCGACTTGCACAGTTAACTGGCAGATAGCAGGCTGTTTTTGCTTGCCATGGAGGCCCAAAACAAAGTCAAATGAAAGGAGAATTTACACGATGGTGGATAATAGCTCTATCACATGTAAGAGTAACTTTTTTTCTCTCTTAAAAGGATTGTTTCAGGTGCTTCCATTAGGGTTGGTGAGCAGTGCCATCGCTAGGAGTACCTTCGCGCTTCAAATCATACCCCATATTCGGATGGTACGATCATCACTGGCAGAAGCCAACATACGAGGGTTTTTGGGATTCCAACTGACACAATTAACAGATCCAGTGTGGCCAGGCAGTATTACAATGAGTTCTCCAGTGCCTCTATGCCATATATATACCTACAAGAAGGAAGAACATGAGAAACAATTTAGACAACGTATTTGTTTGTGTGTAAGTGAGAGAGAGAGGGGGGCTTCTCCTTCTTTGAAGTAAGCTGTTCCCCTTTTTTTGCAGGAACAGCCCAATTAAGTTTTGTCATTCTCATCCAACACCTGTCCCATTAATTGATAGCCCCCCTTCTGAATCAATCAAATTTCTAGATCCCACTGGTGCAAAAAATTCAATGAGTTCATCTGTGTACTCTAGGGCTGCTCTTTCTATTAATTAGTCAAATTGAAACATGAATGATGAGTGCTTGGAGTTGCACACAATCATGCCACACAATTGCTCAGCTGCCTATAAGTTACTCTCATCCTTCATCCTTCTATAACTGAATAAATGACAAGTGATTGAGTTTTCAGACAATCTTTTCACTTCAGCTACTCACTAGTTATTCTCATCTGTCATCCTCCCATTTCAATCTTAAAATAAATAATAATTTAAACAATCCCACTTCTAAGAATAATAAACAAGTAGGGCCACAAGTGGCAATTAAGATACCCACTTCAGCAAGTCTAAATAACATCAAAAGAACATAGAGAAATAAACTTCTGAATTTCGTGATATTTAATATTTTTCTTTCTTTGATTTATTTCTTCAAGATCATATCTCAAATCTATGATGAATTCTCGGAAAGAAGATTCAAGAAATACATAATTTAGCAGCCCAATCAGTCTGCAACCTAAGTTATTTGCGCACCTCTCTTTGAGTTTCCTCCCAACACAACTTCTCGAACAGGGAAATGGTTGCTCTCTACTTCTTCGTTCCTTCCCAGACAAACTGTAAATTCCTCCTAATTTAGAAGAATGTAAATTGCAGAAGTTGTTTGAGAGAGCCTATGTATGGGGATCTTATGGAGAACCATCTCTCTAGCTATGGGCCCCACTAGTACTCTAACTAGTAACAAAGTAGGACTCCCAAACCTTATCAAATTTTATTCCATATTTATCTTCTTATATTATATAGGAAATAAAAGTCCATAATTTCAAACATAGACCTCCTTATATGTATTCATATATATAGGAATCTGTTATTCTAATGGTTAAGACATACCACTACATAAATGTGTTAGTGTGATATATGTTGGTTTTAAGTGAAGTGTCCATCTCTTCAATCATGACCAAGAACAAAATAAGGTTATGGAGTTACCAGAAATACTTGCTTATCTTTATGATTCTCTAATGATCACAGCTAAGTTTTTTTCTACAACTTACCTTAGGGCATGGTTAATGTGACATTTGTAAAGTATACACATGTATGAGGACAATGTAATACTTGTCGTAAAGGACTTAAACTTTTTAAGGGGACATGTATTTAATGTATTGTCCCCCTTACAAAATTACAAAACTAACCCAAAAGTTTAAACTTTTACTATATTGAATTAAAAATATTATCAGAACTTATGGACAATTTAAGAAAAAATTTGAATTCTGAAACTTCTCAAGAATTAAAGTGGAAACTTAACATCCCAAAAAAGAAAGCAGAACACTATTGAGACGGAGGGAGTAATAAAATTCATACTTAAATAAACCAATAGAACAAATAATATTGGCTTTTGAAGGCGTATAAGCCTAACACATAGTTATTGTCGGACCATGTTGATCTGATCCTTTTAGAGTTCCCTAGCCTGAACCTTTCAAAAGAACTGGCTCAACAGCATTCAAAGACAACATATAGCATGGACATGCCACTCAGAAACCATCCTCAAGTGTAACCTCAAACTAAAATTGAATAAAAATTGGGCTGAGCATGAACCTTATGTCTTGAGCAGACATAATGCTTTTAACAAAAAGTGCAGCAGCAGACATTTTCCATTTTGTTTTCTTTTAGAGAGAATAAGATACAAAGCTGTGTCCTTTTATTTTTATCTAGAAAAGTCACTTCCGGGATCATAGAACTCTCATATTGCCAATATAATCAAATTAAATGAAAAGAAGACAGTACCTGTGAATCCTCACTCCCACTGGCAATAAATGCTTGCTCAAATCCACCGAAACAAGATCTGATGACGAATCGAGTACGTTTATGACCTTCATACTTGGAAACGATCTTTAGATCTCCCTCTATGCTCCAAAGATGAATTTCTTGGTTTACAAGATTAATCAGCAAGAATTTGTTGTCCTCCGACAGTGAGAATGAAGTAATCACTTCGTCCTCTTGAATTAGTCTCTCAAATTTTGCTTCCCGGTCAAACAACAGAATTGCAGTTTCTTTATAAATGGTCATGATAATCTTCCCATCATGAGTTATGGCCATGTCTGATATTTTATTGACTATCAGCTGCCCTTTCCAGCACTCCAACTCTTTTCCATCCAAATCCCACGAGCAGATGCTCTTGTCTTTCAAACCAGAGACTACTTGCTTACCATCCGGAAACCATCCACATGATATCAGGCCAACACCAGCTTTCTCATAAACACGGAGACGTTCACCAGATATGACATCCCAGAGTATGACGACCTCCTCCTGTCCACAAGAGAGGAGATGAGAATCATTGGGGCTCCATGAAATCATAGACACTGGTTCCTGGTGACCATTTAATGCATGCTTCAATAATACTTCACCATTATCTTTGACCTGAAAAAGTGAGCATCCTCATCATTAGTAACAAAAACTTGGAAAAGCAAATCTGACAATCCATTTGTGTAAGTACGATCAAATGGAATTCCTCAAATTATGGTTTTCGACCAAGAGGGTGGATCGAAGCAATTGCAGCAAAAAGAATAAAAATATATATAATAATGAACAAGAAAAGGCATTTGATAATGCAATCAAGTTAAGAAAGTATCACAGAAAATCACTACACAAAACTTCGAGGAAATATAAACATAGGAAAACAATAAAACCAATTAGAGCTAAAGGTAACTCTTCTGTATTATAATGATTAAGAAAGTCGGAACTAATTTGTTATTTGGTGCGGCGTTGGCATATGGCCAACCCAATCCAGAGGTTGTTCTGTTAAATAACAACCTGAAGGTCCTGAAACACAACCAAACCTGAAACTTAATCCTAAAGATCCCCAACTGGTAAGGTTGATCACCTTTAAGCCACTCAAGCTGCAACCCAATCTAACTGGATAATAACTCACGCATAACAAACTCAGCAGATTTAAGCATCACCAAGTAGTCACGGATGTGATCAAATTCCAGGTATTGTCAAATTAAGCTCACCAATATGAAATTATACAACTTCCAAATCTAGTTGAGCTTTAAACAATGCAATAAACCACATATCAAACTACACCACTCAAAACTTAGATGTATTTCACTCCATTAAAATTGGAGGAATAATGTGACAATAAGGAGAGAATTATCGTGACAATAGAACTCATGAAAACGTGTGGTTGATGAAGACAGGAAACAAGATGTCCTCACTCGAATTTCACAAAGAATTTTTCTTCATAATTATTTCACCTGATGAGTATACACAATGCAAACATGACCACAGCTAGAGTATGAATGAAAACTAAGGTGAAAACTAACAGGGTTGCTCCTGAATAACCACTAGGGGGAAAAGGAGAATCAGAATGGACCAAAAAGCAAATACTTTTCTCCTGAAATTATATCAAGTTTTAACACGTCAACTTTGAGCATATGTTGCACCATAGAGAATGAGATATGTCAAATTATTAATGAATATATTATCATTTCATGAAAATAAGGAGAAATTTTGAAAATAATTCAATTAACGAATCAAAGTTAAGAATATGAAAACTTATGCATGAGTAACCATAGTTTTCACTTTGTTAGTCTTTGGGAATCAAGCCAAAATATTTGTGAAGTTAAGCATATTTGTCAAAATACGTTCCATTAAGTCTACCACTATACACATCCTAGTTGATGAGCTTCCATATCAGAACACAGACATAAACATAGTATAGTGAACCCTGTCAAAGGTCCAAATTCAGAAGCACACCCAATAAATAAAAAATAAAATTACCTCCCATATAACTGCCGATTTATCTTTGGATGATGAGGCCAAAAAATTTCCACTGTGAGAGAATTGTAAAAACCAAACTTCATCTTTGTGTGCTTCCAATACCTGTTACATTTTGATGAAGAAAAGAACTCAAAACTCTCACTTTTAAGTACTTAGTAATACAAAAATTCAAATACCTTTGCATTCGATTTAATGTATATAAGACATCATTATATAGATTATAGAAGCAAGCTTAAATTTCACTAGTCAATGTGAAATTAAGATTTCACCACCTTGTTCTCATGCATATTTAGACGAAATCAATTAACAAAGTAAAATCTAAAACAGAAAATGTGCACTCTGTTTGAGATAGACCAGGCATCATTGTGTAGACCAAAGGCACAACCTGTAATATCTCGTCGTCATCACTGCCACCGTCAAAAGCAAAATTTCAAAGAATTCATCATCACAACACCACCACTGCCACCTTAGTTTACATATATCAGCAGTGGTCATGAATCATGATATCAGCAGATTTGCCATCCATTTACGTATATATGCATCCTTAACTATGTATTCCATATGAGGCTTAAGACTGTACCAATTTGAAAGGAAGAGAGAAATTTTGGAAATTAGTTCAGTGTCACAGAGGGGAAAACTTGGGACCTATCAAACTGAGTTTTAGTTTAAGGTGACTCTAAGTTTTATGATTACGAAAAGTATACCTCTTGTTTAGTTCCACTACTGTTTAAGATATTATTTATTTATGAGCCAAGGCATTTTAAAATATCATGTTCTATGGGTTAGTATTGTAAGATAAGAAGAAATTAAATCAAGAAGAGAAGAGAGAGTATGAGAGGACATTGAGAGTTAAAAGCACTTCCTATACTTTTCTTTTCCTCCAGGCAAGGAACTCAGACCTGTGGCCCAACTAATCTCAAGATATGTGTATGGGCATCAGTACTCTGATCAGCAAGCACCCAAGAAAACCAGGGATGGTGGCTAGCCCTTGTAGGGTGAGTGAAACTCAGGACTCTTTTGCTTCCCGTCATATTTAATACTTAGCTATTTTTTCGTCTCCAAGTCTCTCTCTTTTTTCCCAGCCAATTTGTAGGCCTCAAAAAACCAAAAAAACACAAACCACCTTCTTAAAAGAACACAATGCAAGATGAAAGCACAAAAAAAAAACCCAAACTTTACTTGCCTGCCATATTTTAAAGTGGTCACAATTTAACTGTGTACTACGGTCTACTTCACAAGCATTGGAATACGACAAAAGCGGTCATAATTTAACTGTGTGCTACTGTCAGCTAACTGATTCTAATTTTACAAAAACAACTGAATGTAAGGCTACTCCACAATTTTCCTCTACAAAACCATGCTAAACAATGCTGCATTGGTATCCATATTAATGCGTGCTTACATATGGATGACATTCAGAAATGCCAATGAAACACAAATCTTAAGCACAAAGAAATTTCAATCTGCATGTTTGCAACGAAAAACAGTGACTGCCTGGACAAGTGGCAAATAGAATATCTATAAATAGATGCTAAAAGGAGCCATTTAAGTACGCAACCATCAAAGAAAAAAAGCATATAATAGATGGTTGAGAAAAGGCAATCTATACAATTAATTTATAATGCTGTGAAGAAGTGCATAATGGTAATAGGAACAGAAATGGTGGTGATGAGCCCTTATAGATGCTCATCACAATGAGCCCTTAACAAACGACAATTACTGTGATGACCCTGTGGGCGGGTGTGCCGTGGGCGGGTGCGAGAGACACTGTCAGGCTACCACACTGGCGAGCTACGGATGCACAGTCCCACATCGCCTGGGTAGAGGAAAGGTGAAGTGCTTCTATGTAAGTGTGTCACCTCCAATTGGTATGAGGCCTTTTTGGGTGAAGCCCAAGAGCAAAACCGTGCGGGCTCAGGCCCAAAGCGGACAATATCATATCATGTGGTGGAGCGGGTCATTACAAATGTTATCAGAGCCTGACCCAGCCGGAAGTGTGCCGACGGGGACGTCGGGCCTCCAAGGGGGGTGGATTGTGATGACCTTGTGGGCGGGTGTTTCGTGGGCGGGTGCAAGAGACACTGTCAGGCTACCACACTTGCGCGTTACGGGTGCACAAGTCCCACATCGCCTGGGTAGAGAAAAGGTGAAGTGCTTATATGTAAGTGCATCATCTCCAATTGATATGAGGCCTTTTGGGGTGAAACTCAAGAGCAAAACCGTGAGGGCTCAAGCCCAAAGCGGACAATATCATACCATATGGTGGAGTGGGTCATTACAAATGGTATCAGAGCCTGACCCAGCAGGAAGTGTGCTGACGAGAACGTTGGGCCTCCAAGGGGGGTGGATTGTGATGACCCTGTGGGCGGGTGTGCCGTGGGCGGGTGCGAGAGACACTGTCAGGCTACCACACTGGCGAGTTACGGATGCACAGTCCCACATCGCCTGGGTAGAGGAAAGGTGAAGTGCTTATATCTAAGTGTGTCACCTCCAATTGGTATGAAGCCTTTTGGGGTGAAGCCCAAGAGCAAAACCGTGCGGGCTCAGGTCCAAAGCGGACAATATCATACCATGTGGTGGAGTGGGTCGTTACAATTACCGTCTTATAGATGCTCGAGAAAGGTGAGGAGTTTATGCTGGCAGACAAATTAATGAAAGAAACTAGCAGAAACAGAATAAGCTACAATGACAAAGCTAAAAACTTCAACCAATAATGCATGTCCAACCTGCAGTGTTTGAGAAGGAATCTGCTTTCTTCCACACAGATGATCCGAGTACAACGAGAGTTCACTATTCGAAATATTATGAAAAACACAAGCATCTCGTTGCACATCAAGAGCCTGTTCAACTAGATTTTCTAACCTTCTTCCAGGTATCATTACTACAGGAAGCACTTTCTCCAATTTATCAAGAGCCTGTTTAACATTATCTTGACTGGAAAGCCCAAGCCCTGTGTGCTGGGAAGACAAGATGACGCAGGCTGCAAGCTCATGAACTCTTTCCAGATTGACTGAAAGGGGCACAATCTCATCCCTCAGAGTACCTAAAGCATCCATGATTCTTTCCTCTGTCAAAAGCTCCAAGAACTTCTGTTCCAATATCAAGAAAGATGCTGATTTCACAATGGTTTCATCAGTGAGACCAATTGTACGTAATGTCACCAAGCTTTCGTCCCATTTTCTGTCCCGAACTTGCTGTATAAACAAACTTGCAGCTGGTGAGTGCAGCTGAATCCCTGATTCCTCCTGTAGAAGGGCCCCAGACTGTTCATATCCAAGACAGTACAATCCCCTAGTCATGACTTTAACAAATTCCTGCTTCTTGATCATTCCTTTGGGACCGATCATTTCTCTATCTTCTTGGGAGGATGGCAGTCGTGCCATCAGTTCTCCCAAAGAACCAACAATTCCTTCAAATCCTCAGAGAGAAATTTCAGGCGTTTACCCTACATACAAACCGAAAATAGGTATAAACAGTGAGTGGAATTACATTTGCCCTCAAAAGCACCCAATAAAACACAAATGATACGGATTCGGGGTTCTCAAAGCATGCCAGAATTTGTAAACAGCGATAACAGGAAACTAAGGGGGAAAAGAGCACCAAGAATCGGATCAAATTAGCTCAACAACAGTGAGGACAACACAAAATGATGCTTATCTTTATCCATTATCATATAAATTAATTGTCCCCAATGGGAATGTCAATAATGATAATGCATGCTCTAGAACAATGATAAACAACAGACTATTTTACTTGTACGCAACTTTCAGTGAAAGAAAAATCTCCAAGATCCACTTCAAACAAAAGAAAAACTATAACACTGAGAAACAAGAATTAAATTTTCATATGCTAATGCATATACATATATACGAATAAAATTGTTTGTTCACAGTATAAAATGGAAGAACAGACAAGAAGGGCTAGAACTATAATGGAATTGAAAACGAGACACCAAGTTCGTCCTTTTGGATTACATGTATAACCCTAAATCAGAATCAAGAAACAACATGAAGGAAGAAAAAAAAAAAATCAAAGAGAACAAGAACAGTATAAGAACATCAGGTATCTAAATTGAGTATTGATTCAAAGCAAAAATTAATTACCAAGATTGGGGAGTCGGAGAGTTTCAGACCTCAAATTTCTCAGTCCAAGAGAAGGAAAACCCACCAAAACAAAGAAGAAAACGTGTTTTGTTAACTGAGAAGAGTGAGAATGCGAACAGAGAAAGTGAATGGCCAATGAGACGAATGTGGATATTAATATCTATATGTGTGTGTGTGTCTGTGTCTAGACGTACAGAGATATATATTTATAGAGAGAGAGAGAGAGGGAGAGGGTTTAGTTATGCTGATAATCCACTTCCTTCTGGCGGTTGGCAGTGAGGTGTGACCGTGAGAAAAGGGTCCAGAGGTGGGAGTGTAGGAAAAAATTTCAAGAAACAAAAATGTGGTAACTGACTCAGTGTCAAGTCAGATTCTATTGTTTGCTAATTTTTAGCCTGGACGATTTTTTTTTTTTTTTTTCAATAGAAAATTCATTCTTTGTTTTTTTCCCTGTTTGATAAATAACGGAATATCCAGTTTTATGAATCAAGAGAGCTGGGTTTTTTTATATTCTAATCAATTTTACGACTTCAAAATTAATTATATTGTTTTGATTTTTCAATAGACAGATTTTTAAAATTTTAAAATTAATACATATAATTAAAAAAGCAATAGATTATATAAAAATTGATTGCGCATGGAAAAGGTATTAGCCGTGTGCATTTTTATGTATGATTATTAATTAATCTTGTATTACTTTTTAAGTATGTATATTATTGTGAATGTAGAAATATTGTGAGATTTATACTACTAATGTCTTAATTTAAAAATAATGCGGAGTATTTGACATGCGCGATAAGTAATTGCTTATAATAAAATGTATATTGAAAGTCAATGATAAATTACTTTGAAATTCTTATAATACCTTATTTTAAAAGTCAATAATAAATTACTTTGAGACATAAAGCATGTTAACTGTCAAAATAAATTGTTGATATCAGCAAATTATTTCAAGACGCAACAAAATATAAGAAAATATCAAAACACTAATTGAATGGGTCTATGTAATTTTAGAGATGACAATGAGACTGAGTTTGGGGTGGAGGTCATCTTGTTTTAGTCTAACTAAGTAAAAAATATTTTGATCCAAAATTGTTTATGTAGATAGTTACCTGCTCATCAATAAAAATAACAATCAAGTCTCTTTTTTTTTCTTTTTCTTTTTTTCAAATATTTGAGTCTGTTATATGTACGACGAATAACAATCATATTTTTTTTTTTTCAAACATTGGGTCGATTACATGTAATTGCCATCGTTTAAAATTCTGTATCCCATTTTGTCAACATTTCATCTCGAGTTTGTTAAAAGAACACACAAATAAAACTTTATCCTATTTTGGTACAAAGACATCCCCTCAAGTTTGATACGGTTGTCAAAGACACCCCAATGATAATGAATTGACATTTTTACCCTTTAACTTTTATATTAACCATGAAATGACGTTTCTAACCTCATAGACCCGTTCCCATCCTTCTCTCCTCTCTGTTCTCTCTTCCTCTGCCCAACACCAACATACACATATATACACACATACATATATATATATACGTATATATATATATATGTATATACATGTATATGCATATATATGTATACAGGCAGCGATGGTGAATGGATCCGCGGCCTTCATCCTTCGATTCCGTCGACCCATGGAGCACTGATTTGGTAAACGGAGGAAGAAAGAGAGAGTCGTGCAGAGATAATGAGTTTCGCCGGAAATGATGGGTAAGCTTCTGGGTCGCGGGAATTGTTCGTGCTTGGGGTCCGTCGGTCTGAACTGGGCTTCACCGGATATGGGGTTCGCTGGATAGAACTGGGTCTTGTAGTTTGAAGCTTCATCGGACTAATAGCTCCAATTTTGAGCGCCGTCGTGGGTTAGATCGAGACCAGGCTCCAATTTTGAGCGTCGTCTTGATGTCGTTGCCTCCTTTTCAGTAAGCATTTCCTCTTGAGAGTGAGAGACAGAGAGTAAAGGGAAATCTCTAGAATTCTGGTGAAGTGAGTGAATTTATATGGCCTTTTTTATGTCTTAATTGTTGGTTTCATCTAGAGCCCGTAATGTGAATCTTATGCCAGTCCATTGGTTCTGTTTTGTATTTGATGATTTAAATAAGCAAATTCTGCAATCTTAGTAAGAAGGGGATCCTCTCCATAACGAATTCAGTCTCTGTGCTCTTTCTCTTCTGTTTCCAGTTTCTCTGTATGGGTGTACTCTGTTAGAGGATTGGGCTTGGTCCGTTGTAGACCCGAAGTTCAGCATATATTTCCACTGGTGATAGAACAAAAGTTTGATCCTTCCCTTTCGTTGGAAAGCTCGAAGGCGAAGACGGTGGTTTGGGGGTGGGGATGGTGGTTGTGGGGGCGATTATGTGGTGGCGGCGCCAAAATGTGGTTGTAGGATTGACGGGGTGTTAAGGGTAATTTGGTCATTTAATTATTTTAATATTTTATAATTAAAATTAATAAGAATGGTGAAGGATAATGTTGACTTTTTACATGTTTTAAGGCTCTGTTTGACTTGCAAATATCATCAAGGGGTGTCATTGTCCCAAAACATGGTAAGTTTCATATGGGTGTCTTTTTAGCAAACCTCATAGGGTATTACTGTATTTTACCCAAAAATATATATGTATTAGAAATGATAAATTATATAAGTTTAAAAGATATTATAAAGTTGATGTTTAATTGATAAAAGGAAAATTTAATATCTTTATTATTAACTCGAAAGCATATGTCATTATAGTTTAGTAGGTTAGTGCCTCTAATAGACTTTTGAATACCAAGCTTTGATTTTTTACGTTTACTAATCTAATTTCTTAAAATTTTAAGAAGTGTTGAATTTTTTATCTAAATTCAAACAAACAAAATTCTGTATGAATAATTTTTTAAATATTTTTTAACATAAAACACATAAATGGTGATACTCTCAAGAAACCAAAGCTTCTTTATAATCAGCATAAGTTTTATTTATTTTTTTGGGACCATAAATTTTTTTTTGCACACACCTGCACCTAACCCTTTCTTTCTAGAAACGTACAAAAAAATCAGTTGAATCGATAAATTGAACTAAACCGGTAGGTTTGGTTTGATTCCGATTCTAAAAAATGTCACAGTTACAAACGATTCAGTTATTATTTGAAGTTATACAAGACCAAATCGAACCGAATTGAAACGTTTTATAAATTATGTATGATAGGGAGAAATAACCTACCTTGACCAGCCGCCAGACTTCTTCGATATATTTCGTTATCAGAGATAAAGATTTTCATCGGATAAGAATGATGACATTTCTTATCTAGGATAATGAATGACAACGTGGTTCAACAGGGTGAGGATAACCTTGGCATAATTTGAGAAAGTTAAAAGAGTAAATCATATCCCCGACAAATCTGGCAACAGACGATCTCCTCTGAACTCGCACAAGCAAATCTCCCGAGGGACCAATTTGATTACGATCGACAGTCATAAATAGGGCACCAAGCCGTTAAAGAAGGTATGAAAAAAACCCCTAAAGAGAATATACATAATTATTATGTGATACGATTACAAGTACTAACTTGATCGTCGGAGGGTCCTCGGCCGGCACCCCAACGGTGCCATTCGAGGTGACGTTCCTTTGTTTTGCAGGTAAACGCAGTCGTTCCGAGTCGTGAGGATTTACGCGTCAACAGCTGGCGCCGTCTGTGGGAACGATTAGTTCTCTGAAGAAATAATTATACCCGACGCAACTTGGCTCGGATGGCAAGACGAAAGTTTCTGATTATGGAAACCATCCCAAAGTCATCAGTTGACAACGGGTTTCCATGTTCTTATATAAGGACGGGACTCTACATCTTGATTACCCGTCCATCATACTGGGGGCAAAACAGTGGGTTGCGTGATGCCACCCAGTGTACGATGACTATAATCAAAATTTGGCACGTCGACCCAGGCCGTTGATAAGCGCCGAATATTGCATATTCAAGCGCCCTTAATTGCATTAGTTAAGTCCATTGTTTGTTTAATTATGTAGATTACTTTCATTTGTATGTTTTTGTGCATTTTCAGGTTCAATTGCAATAAAGGAGCAAGAAGGGTGTTTTGTAGAGTTTTTGAATATCAAGGTGCCAATTCTGAAATTCTGGCAGCAGTGAAGCCCAAACTTTGTTCTCCATTTTGACCTACCAAACTCGAAAACTGGACTTTCCTCTTAACATGAAAGATTTAGAGCTCTGAATCATCTTTCCAAATCTTCAAGCGGTTCGTCATTCAGAGTTCAGAACAGAGAGTTATGATCTTCTTATTAGAGGTGCTCAGAACTGCCTGGCAACAATGAGTTTCTGCCTTTCTCTTCAATTTCGACCAACCAGACTTGAGAATTGGATCTTTACCAAAACATAAAGTTTTTAGAGCTCTGAATTAGCTTTCCAAATCTTCAAACGGTCATCATTCGGAGTTCGTAGCGCAAAGTTATGGCTGTTTTACCAAAGTAGGTTCGGGCGAAGCAAAGCAAGCATGGAGCAATCTGCTCCATTTTCGAGTGCTCGAGGTCCTATTTCGAGTACTCGAAATTCAGGCAGATTGCACTTCGGAAATGGCTCATTTCAGCCACTTATGCATTAGGTTCCTCATTTCTACTTACCTTCTTTATGGAGTGGTTGGAAATGTTTTTTGGAGGGAGGAGAGAGAGCCTTGGTTGGGGTCTTGATCTAGATAAGAAGGAAGCAAAGCCACACAATGGGATAAGCTTCATTTTGAGAAGATAGATGAGAGAGAAGAGAGCAAGAAAGAGGAGTTCTTTAAGCCAACACAAGGGAGCACGAAAATGGAGTTGGAGGCCTTGCTTCCTCCTTCATCTAGAGCTACCATGGGTAACTAAACCTCTTCTTAGGGAGTTGATGTAACCCTTGTCATGTAAATATGTATTAATTGTGTTTATATTTGGGGAACTTTGCATTTATGTAACATGTTGTCTAATCTAGAGATACACTTTGATGTATTTGTGTTTCATTCCATATTTAATCTTGTAGAGACTCTTATCTTGTCTTAGAAATTGTTTCTTCATGATGATGCTACTTACATCTTTATAGTGAGAATGAAGATGAGATTATACAATGGTTTTAATGGCATGTTGTTTAAGAAATTTGATATTCCATGGCTTAGGGAAACCTTTGATGGATTATGGCTTAGTTCTTGACTTCATGTGCACTTACCACACAAATTGAGGACTTTGATAGTTCATAGCTTAGGAAGGATACTTCATTCTATACCCTAGTTTAGATAGATGACATATGCCAACCTTGGATGGATTATACTTAATTCTTGAATGTGTGAACTTCTTGAAGATATTGTAGTTATCTTGCATTTCTACATATCATGGTTGCATGTATACTTTGTTCCCCAAGTTAATTGCAATTAGGCATGTTTATATGGCTTGTGGTGAAGTTAATTCCCTAGTCTCTTCTCTATTGTTCTATCTCTTTACTTCCTAGCACACTATTATTTTATGCATTTTGAATTCCTAGTTTAGTGACTATCAAACAAACCCTTATTACCCCTTATCATTCTAAGAACAATTCTAGACTCTTAGGTTGCCATAAACTAGCGCAGTCCCAGTGGTTCGACTTACCCGACCAATAGCCCTATTTTACAATGATTCGTGCTATTGCGAAGGTTGATGTATAGCTGATCAACCGATCAGCCGTCCAATATGGTGTTTTCCATCTAGCGATGCTTGGTCCCCTCACTACTGAGGTTTGGTTGTCTAAGACCAGACTCCAACTCATATCGAGTAGCAGTTAATTACCAAGGCCTGATTGTTGAAGACTAAGACCTGGTCCTTCTGCACCTACATAAATGGGTAAGTCTCAACCCATCAAGAAGATCACCACCAACAAGGGGGTCTCTACCTACTAGTAAAGCCTCTACTACTAAGGATGTCTCTAGCAACGAAGTCTCATTACTCCGTCCGTTCGTGCAATCAGGGTGGCCTTCTACACCCAATAATGTATCGAGGCCTTCAGGTCCAAAGAGTTCAATGTCCCTCAAGATCCTATGAGGTATGTATTCCTAAGGAGGTTCCTAAGTTAAAGGCGATCATTGGACCCAACGAGGTACTAGCCACTAGACCGTCATCTGGTACTGGCCACCAGACCGTCATCTGTCAACCGTTGGGTACCAGGCCCCTATCCACCAAGCGTCAAGCTAGTCGCTGGACGCTAAGCCTCCACCTACCAGACGACAGTCGTCACCTCTCTTCCCTTATAGGAATTGCCTATCGACTTCAGACACCCCATCTGTTGTATAAACGTCCATAGAATGGGTCATCACCCAAGATCCCAGCATCGGGGACAAAATAGTGGATGACACGATATCAATCGTCGATCTACATATGATGACAAGGTTTAGAAGATTGACATACCTTGGTGCATCGAGCTAGTCGGGTTTTCAGTCTCTTTCTGTAACGATCCCAAAACTAATGCCAAGAATTTTTTTTAAAAAAAAAATCGGCATAACCTCCCCTAAAAATGGACCTACCGCAACCTGTTTAAATGCATATTTAACCTGTCATGCAACTAATTTCCGAATTCACGGCAACAAAAGATAATGATACAACCTACTAATCTAGACAATGCTTCAAGCTAGGATTATCCTTCCATTCATCAACAAATTACATATCATCAAGTTCGCATCCCATATGTCATCAAGTATCATAAATGTATTACATGATCATGGTTCTTTAAAAGAAATTTACATCATTACACCTTTGGAATTTTACAAAAATGAGGGATGAACAAAGGAGTAGTCTATTACAAAATAACAAGGAAAATGCTCCTCTAGCAACTTTTAAAGTTGGGGTGGATTGTCGTTCACCGGTTCTTTTCCAAGACCTGAAAAAAATGTATAAATAGTAGGGTGAGCTATATGCTCAGTAGGTGACACTTAAGACACAAATCTTGTGTCATTGTGAATTCAAGCAAAGCATAGGCCAATGGAAGATAGGGATCATACAACGTAGGGGATCAAATACAACATTCAATTCAATTCCAATTATAAACAATGCAATGCAATGCATGTCAATGACACTCCCCATTTTCATTCTCAAAACCATCACTTTCAAACGTTAATATAGCCCGCCTTTTGGTAACCCCGCCGCGACACGAGAGGAGGATTGGCTAGTGTCCCTGACCCTTGGTAACCCCGCGGCGTCATTATGGGCCCCAGCTAGCTCAACCACACTAGGGCGACTCCCTAGTCCCCTCTAGGCTATATTAACCTCCGGCCCGTTGGTAACCGCGCAGCGACCGGGTTTCGCATAAAATCATTTCATCAAAAACACTTTCCCGAAATTTCCCCCTTTTGAAGTAAATCAATTATTTCCCTTTTCCTGCCCAATGTTAATGCATGAATACCTCAATGACATACACAAGTTCATCATTCCATACTTTATCCAATTTAAGCAACATGGCATAATTCGCAAGAATAATCAAGAAAGTCATAACATGCTTATACATAACAAGTTCTAGCACAGTGAACATATATAATCAAGTCCTAAACATGCTTCACATAGAACAATCAACAAATATAGTCACACAACTAACATATATGCATACATATCAACAATTCTCTAGATTTTAAACAACTAATCAAATTAAACAACAATTAGAGGTAATTAACTCACTAAGGTACAAGATTTCATGAATTAAGGGCCCCTACCTCAAGATTGCACCAAAACCCTAGAAAATGGGTCCTCAAATTCGAGCTCCAAGGAAGACTCAAAACTGGAAATTGATGGTATGGATATATAGAGCTTGACACGAGCTTCGTTTTGCCTCAAACGGCACCCAAATCTACCAAGAGATGATGAATTAATCAAAGATTCAAGTTGCAAAGGAAAAAGAAAAAGAAAAAGGCAGAGAGATAGAGCACTGGCCGAGAGAGAGGATTCAGCGGGGAGAGAGAACGAGCATAAAAAAAAGGTCTCTAAACCATATGTTTGAGTGGGTGGTGGGTCCCGCCGATTTTATTTTCTTTTCCATTTTCTTTTTGTTTCAAAATACTCCACATACATATATAAGACATAAACATTACACTTTCCTTTAGCGACCCCTCGAGGGCACTAGTCGTCCAAGACTGGTGCTCGATCCTTCGAAACCATACCCAGGTAAGTCTCTACACACCGGGAAGGGTACAACCCTTGGTTATCATAAATTAAGGCTTGGTTATCCAAAACCAAGGCTTAGTCAACTAAGATTAAGAATTGATTGCCCAAAGTCTACAAAGGCTCAGTCATCCAAGATCAATGCCCGGTCACCCCAAGTCTAGTCATCAGAGACCAAGACCAGGGCCTAACTGACAAAAGTATGGTCATCAGAGATCAAGACTTAACCTACAAAGGTCAGGTCAAAAAACGATCCTCCCCCTCACGTGTTATACCTATGTGGTAATTAATTCCCTTACTAAAGGGACGAGCTGAGTTAAGCTCGTAAAACCTAATTCCCTTACTAAAGGGACGAGCTGAGTGAAACTCGTAAAATTTATTCCCTTGCTAAAGGGACGGGCTGAATGAATTCCGTAATCAATTTTCCAGTACTATAAGGGATAGTAAATAAATGTCATGTACTACAAGGACCCGGGCTGAATGAATCCCGTAATTAATATCCCTGTACTATAAGGGATAATAAATAAAAATTCATTACTCAAGGGGACGAGCTGAGTAAAGCTCGTAAAATTTAATTCCCTTATTAAAGGAGTGATGACCTGAGTGAAACTCGTCCAATTTATTCTCTTACCAAGGGAAGAGTACCCAAGGATACCAAAAAGAATACCCAGAGGCAGAGTACCCAAGGATATCAAAAATAGTACCCAGGGACAGAGTACCTAAAGGTACTAAAAATAGTACCCGTGAGGAGATTACCCAAAGGTACTAAAAATAGTACCCGCGGGAAGAGTTCCCGGGGCAAGAGAAAAAAAAAAAAAAAAAATCTACTGTTCACATGAACAGTACCAGCGGGAACAGTACCCGCGGGAACAGTACTCGCGGGGTGCTGTTCCATAGCAAGGGAATATATATATATATATATATATATATATATATATATTTTACATTCCCAAAGCTAGACGAGCAAGCTTGGGAATATGAGGCAACTGATAGGGAAAAATAACCTACATTGACCAGCCGCCAAACCTCTTTGACATATTTCGTTATCAGAGATAAAGATTTCCATCGGATAAGAATGATGACATTTCTTATCTAGGATAATGAATGACGACGTGGTTCAATAGAGTGAGTATAACCTTGGCATAATTTGAGAAAGTTAAAGGAGTAAATCATATCCCCAACAAATCTGGCAACAGACGATCTCCTCTGATCTTGCACAAACAGATCTCCCGCGGGACCAATTTGATTACGATCGACAGCCATAAATAGGGTACCAAGCCGTTAAAAAAGGTACGAAAAAAAACCCCTAAACAGAATATACATAATTATTATGCGATACGATTACAAGTACTAACTTGATCGTCGGAGGATCCTCGGCCGGCACCCCAAAGGTGCCATTCGAGGTGACGTTCTTTTGTTTTGCAGGTAAACGTCGTCGTTCCGAGTAGTGAGGATTTACGCATCAACAATGTATAATTTATATATTTTGTATTATATAAATATTATAATAATAAGATCAATCTTTTAACTACTAAAATCATAATATATAATAGAAAATTTTATTATAATATATATTTAATTTTATATAAATATTGATTTTAGAATTAAGTTCGATTATACTTTTTATAAAAATTCCAAAATATTTCCAAATGGTTTATACTTTATACTGACTGAGTCCCGACAGTCACATCCATCCCTTTCCGAATATATATATATATATATATATATCCTTTTTGTTTCCTATATTTGGAATTAGAAATGCTTGCTTGCGTGCGCGCGGAGCGTGAGTATCGGCGGACTTGCATTGCTCTCATCAAGTCGGCAAATCACAATATCTTCTTCCACTTCAATCTTTTGATCTGCTTTTACCGATACAAAAAATGACATCGACGATGGCTCCACCGACGGCCAAGAAAGTGAAGCATGAAATGGAGATGTTCGGAGACGTCAGGGTCGACCACTACTACTGGCTTCGTGACGATTCTCGCTCCGATCCCGAGATCCTCTCTCACCTCGAAGCCGAGAACGCCTACACCGATTTCGTAATGTCTGGTATACACACACACAGACACACGCCATTGTTATAACTTGTAGAGCACAACCGTATTTATAGTATACGATTTCATTATTTCTTCTATCATTCATATTAATTAATAATTTGTTCCTTATTACTTTGTAAAGGGAATGGAACAGAAAGGGAATTCCCTCACGCTCTGTTTGTGGGCACTGTTACCTAAGAGAGGATGCTTCACACACCATTTATTTTTTATTTGTTGCGAGTACATCACTTCTGTAGAAAATTTAAGCTTTGTAGTCAATGAAACTTGGAAAGTCCATTGAATTATAGGCAGCTATGTAAAACTTATACCTGAACATTTCTAGCACACCAGACTTTATAAGCCCACTATGAAATGTGTACACATTGCTAAGCTTCACAACAACTTGAAAATGAAATTTAACTATTTCTTGCCTATAACTAACAACAATATTTTTTTTTAACACTGATCAAAGACATTGAAAATTATGACCCAATTGATGTATGCCGACCCTGTTAAGTTGATTTATTTATAATAGAAGTGATGGTAATGAATCATTAAATCCCACATTAAAACACCTATAGCAGTCATGCATTATAATATTGAATATATCAACCTATTCTCAAATATTCTCATATTTGAGAAGGTTCTGTTTATAACTGTTGTATTACTTTTCAGGGACCAAACAATTCGAAGATCAGATTTATGCTGAGATTAGGGGACGAATCAAGGAGGACGACGTCACTGCACCCATACGCAGGGGTTCTTACTATTACTATAATAGGACCTTGGAGGGGAAGGAATATGTCCAGCATTGTCGACGCCTTGTTTCCAATGATGGTGCTCCACCTTCTGTTTATGATGTTATGCTTACTGGACCTGATGCTCCTCATGAGCATGTTATTCTTGATGAAAATATTAAGGCCCAAGAGCATGCATTTTATCAAATTGGCGCATATAAAGTAATGGCAATTTTTCCTATGTGCTTCACTGTGATAACCTTTTTCTTTACCCTTTTCAATAGTTTGTTCCTTATTACTTTGTTTCACTCTACCCTTGCCCTTTGTTTCACTCTCCACGCCTCTCTCATTTTATTTCTCTCCAGGTTAGTCCAAATAATAAACTAGTAGCATATGCGGAAGACACCAAAGGAAATGAGATTTATACTATTTCTATAATTGATGCTGAGACCTTAACACCTGTGGGGAAGCCTCTAGTTGGTGTGACACCATATATTGAGTGGGCAGGTGATGAGGCCTTAGCTTACATCACAATGGATGAGATCCTTCGGCCGGACAAGGTATGATTTTTAAGCTGAACTCATGGTTGAGAATAAATCTTACACTGCCTGCCTCAGCTGTCTCCTTGTTTCTTTCCATCGAAGAATTCGTCCTTGCTTCTCCATCATCCATGCAGTTTCTCTCTCTCTCCCTCTCTCTCTCTCTCTCTATTATTCTTCTTTACAATAACATCCTTCTCCCCGCTTTTAACCTGTACTATTTTAGTTAAAAGAGTTTTTCGCTCACTTGGTATCAATATGCCATGTTCCCACACAGAGATCTTTGGTTGGTTCTCTTAAAGTGAATTAGAGAACTGAATGATTAATACAATCCGTTATGTGCTCATTTTACTGATAACAACCTGCACAACACCTGCCTCGACATTCTAACCACAAGATAAAGAAAACTTTTAATTTTTTTAGTTTTCGGCTTCTCGAGCTGAGTGCAGATACTCTTCTTATGACATATATACATCTTCATTTCATGATGGTCCCGGTTATGTATTTATCTGAATTATGTACCCTTGTTCATATTTGCTTTTGCAAATTGCAAAGATGAAGGGCCATTGGTTGGTGTAATGGTAAAACTCATATTGAAATGCTTCTTCGCTCTCATCCTGACCTTGTAGCCTATTGACTAACGTGTTGTAATGAAACCAAGGAATCATACTATACTGCTTGTCCAGCTTATCTGCAAAGAAACAATATGCTTATTTTTTATTGTGTTTGGTCTTCTACCTAACCTCTCTGTTTATCTTGTTTTTCTAATTAGACTACGTTTAATAGGTATGGATACATAGGTTGGGATCAGAGCAATCAAAAGACTCTTGCCTTTATCATGAAAAGGATGACATGTTTTCCCTTTCTCTTGAGGTGTCTGAGAGCAAGAAATTTTTGTTTGTTGGATCTGAAAGCAAAATTACAAGATTTGTCTTCTACCTTGATATTTCTCAGTCTGAAAATGGGCTTATGGTTTTGACACCTCGTTTGGATGGCATTGACACATCAGTAAGCCATCGTGGAAATAATTTTTTCATTAAGAGGAGAAGCGAAGATTTCTTTAACTCAGAACTTTTAGCCTGTCCAGTAGACAACATAACTGCAACCACAGTTCTTCTTCCTCACCGGGAAAGGTAATAGAGACTCAGCTTTCTTGCTAATTACTATTGGGTTGTGGCGTTATTCAATATATTGTTTTAGTTCTATGCAAATTATTTTTAACGCTCTTTAATACATTATTTACTTATCAAAAACAAAAAAAAAATGTTCTATGCAAATTGTAGTTTAACCTTCATATTAACATAAAGGCCTGGCATTGTGGATCTGTTGATGTTAATACTGTTGTTTCATGTGAGGCTACCACAACACTATGTATCTCATGACAGAGGGAGGAAGGAAGGACAAGTGGATCCAATCAAGAGAGGGGTAGGGAAGGAAGAACCACTGAATCCAATGAAAAGGGTTCTTCACTCTTCTCATTAAGGTCCTGACTCAAGGAAGGGAGGGAGGATCAGTGGAGCCAATAAAGAGAGGGAGGGAGCAGTGGATCAAATTAAAAGAGTTTTTTTCACTCTTCTGAGGTCCTGACTCAAGGGAGCTCCAACCTCTTGCCACTAGTCTGGTTAAAATTAAAAACCTCAATATTTCTTTTATTTTTCCTTCCCCTCTTTTCTATCTTCTCTTTTGCTGTTTTTTGAAATCTCCGCCACTGTTCTGCGTTACTGGTTTTGTATACTGCTGAGGAATGTAACTCACCTTTCCTCTTTTGAATTGGTCAGTTCTTTAATTAATTGAGGACTCGTTCGAATTATTCCTTGTGCATCTGAGGCAAATTTAAAAATGTTAAAGAATATTGAAACAGTGGAAGTCATATAATGAATGGAGAAATAAATATGGCAGATGAGCCAATGGACATTTGAGCTATTTTACTTAGGTCTTGCTTCGCTGGTATGTTTGACAACCATGCGTCCACCAATTATGCCTGTTTCTGTATTAGTTATTCAGACATGTTTCGCTCAGATAGTCTGTTTGGATTTAGTTAGCTTACATTTTTTACTGGTGAAGAATGTTGGGAACAAATCCACACTTGATGACTTCTGGTCTTTTATCTCAAGAAGTATTATTTTTTACTAACTCATCATTGACACAGATAATATCGAATTACTATATATCCAAATTGTATTTTAGATCTTATTCCTATCTAACCAGTACCAAATTATTCTTCTTTACATTGGAATGGTATATATGTTTAGGTTCTCCACTGTAGATAACAGCCTAAAAGTGAGAACTGGGAAAATTTTATTACCTGAAATTGTGCGCACACAAAAATAGAGAACCTGTTACGATAATTTGATGGTAATTTTGCAAGCTTTGTTATGTATAATGATCACGTGTTATACTTGTTCTCTTAAACTTGAAGGCAAACTTCATCCTAACTCTAATAGTAGTGTTTGTACTTGAATGCAACTGCTTTAATTGAATGATCTTGAGACAAGCATATCTGCCTAAGCACCATATAACTCACTGTCTGAGGAACGACCTTAAGAAAACTAGTAACTTACTAGGCAAAATCCGTGTTGTATGTTTTAATGCATAACCATATAACTCACTGTCTGAAAGTTGTTCGGTTTGCTTGTCTTTGTTGTGATGCTTGTAATTAAGTCCAGTAATTCTCTATAAGAAAAAGAATTATCGGGACAGATTGGATTACACATGCATTCTCTGTTCCTCTAACTTGTAAGTATTGCGTGATGTTGTCATTCTGCAAAACTCAATGCATTTATATTCATTCTTAGTAATTTGTAGAGAAATGTGGTATCTTTTCTGGTCACCATCACAAAGTTTTTCTTTGAGGGGCATTTCAGTCATGAGTTAATTAGTTTCAGTTTTTGTCCAGCATAAAGATTCAGGGCGTTCAACTTTTTAATGACCATCTTGCTGTATATGAGCGTGAAATGGGTCTGCCCAGAATAACTATATATTGCCTTCCAGCTGTTGGAGAACCCCTTGAAAGCCTTCAAGGTGGTCGGTCTGTTGATTTTATTGATACCATATATTCAGTTGATCCATATGAATCACAATTTTCTTCCAGCGTTTTACGGTTTGCTTATAGCTCAATGAGGACTCCCCACTCTATATACGATTATGATATGAACACAGGGATTTCAGTTCTGAAGAAAATTCAACCAGTAAGTTGATATTACATCTCTGCATTGTAGTTCAGTTGTATTTGGCCTCATTATCTAGCACATTCTCTTTCCTATAGTCGTGGGTACTTTTCAACTTCTTTATTTGTCAAAGAGTTAGTTACTACTGATGGAGATCAGGACATTGTTCGTATACATGAATTGCACAGGACTCTCACCTCTGCTTGGAAAATGGGCAAGGACAGATAGATTTTATGTTGCATTTGGTATGAAGGAATGGAATAGAATGGAATGCCCATTCCAGCCACTCTTTTGTTTGGTAGGAAAATTAAAGTGGGACCATTCCAGGTCATTCCCTTGGAATGGAAAAGAATGAAAATCCATTCTACATCTCAATCAATGGAATGACCAATTCCATTCCCAGGTAAAATAATAGTGAAAAAATCATGTTCCCCCAAAATCCTCATGTTTCCAAGTCCAAAAACCACCACCACTACCATCGCCACCGCCTTCCAGCACCTTCCACAGCCGCCTTTCACCGCCACCACCTCCGCTGCCTTCCACCAACGCCACCTTCACATCCTTCCATCACCGCTTTTCACTACCACCACCGCCACCCACTGCCGCCTTCCACCACCACCACTTACTGCCGTCTTCCACCGCCATTTCCGCCGCCTTCCACCACCGCCACCGCCTCCTTCCACCACACGACCTTTTATGTAGAAACCCCAAAAGAGAAAAACCACGGGATCTAGTCCAGACATGCACAATCCACTATATGAGAAATAGGTTTAAACTAGGTTAAAAATTCACTCACCCTCAAACCGTAGTTACCTCTGGATACATATGCGTTTATGACACCAATGTTTTCCCCTGAAAGTCTCTCCGTTTCTTATGAATCCGCTTCTCCAGTAATTGCTCACCTTTTCGGTTGAATAGGATAAAATCAATGAATCTTCTCCTTTCTGAATACTTAATCACATGATGGTACTTCTAAGGAACCCTAAATTGAGTAAAACATAAAGTTTTCCCTCTCAAGAACTTTCTCCTGTCTATATGATTAGAGATGCTCAACCTTACCCTAGACTGACCATAACCCTATATTTATAGCCAATATAGAAGTCCATAAGTTTTAGGTTGTTAAATCCTTGCAAAATTGTATTTTGAGAGAGTACCAAAAGTGTATGTCTGACAGGTTCGATTGATCAAGCCTTCAGTCCAACTCTACTAGAAACACTTTGATCAATGCATTCTGGTTATGAAAGAAATTTTTCCTGGAACGTCTTGATCGATTGATGTCTTCCGGAGGCACCTTGATCGATTAACCATATGAATGATGCTCACTGCTTCCAGTTCTAAAATCAGTTTTGAACCATGTATAAAACTTAGGGTCTGAGAAGTTATTTTTCAAAAACATTGTTGAAACATGTTTATGAGCCCAACCAAGATCAAACTAAGTCAAAATAGATCTTCTATGGTCAATTTACCTTTAACCTAGATGCATGATTGAGAACTTAAATTTTCCGCCACGTTCTTTGCACTTTGTGTCTGCCATGTTTGCATGAGTGTCGTTGTATGACAACACATTTGCACATTACAACACCAGTTTTAAGTAGGATTTTGACAACACATGACTCATGTACCTTTCATTCTTCTTTCCAATGTAAATAAATATTTTGTTGAGAATAAATTTGCCAACACGACGCATATAATCAACACACGACTCATATCCTTGACTTTTTATTTCTAACAGATAAGGGGAGTTTTGGGGAAATGCTAGATATGTTTTATATAAACTTTTGAATTCAAATGAAATATTTTTGAATTACAATTAGACGTCCAATAAATTTTGGAAGATCAATTTCACTTTTTTGTTTTGTTTTGTTTTTTGTTTTTTGTCTTCTAAGTATCTACATGGCTATGCCACCATGCCCTAGATTTTTCCTTCTACAGATAGTAGATAGCGCATGAAATTTGAGACTGATACCTATCAATTTGGTGACAACTATTTCTCTCTGGTTATTAAACTATATTGTTGTCGTTACTTTTCTTTAAGGCATGTTTGATTGAATATGGATTTATTTATTTATATTTATTTTTCTAATATTTGACTCAGGTGTTGGGAGGGTTTGATGCCTCAAATTATGTAACTAAAAGGCAATGGGCCTCTGCTCCAGATGGTACTCAGATTCCTATATCAATTGTTTATCAGAAACATCTGGTGAAGCTTGATGGGTCTGATCCATTACTACTTTATGGTTATGGTTCATATGAGGTAATATTTGATTTTATGACTACTTAATGGTTATGGTTCATACAAGATGATATGTGATTCATTAATCAAACAACTACATTTTCAGGCAGAAACACTCTTGACTCGGTAGGGACTTGGGGTGATTGTACGCAGTGGACTTATTAAACTAGCAGAAGTATTTCGTCCTCATTTTTAAAACTTTTATGTGTATAACAGCCCTCTATCAACTCTAAACTCATTACAACCTTAAATTTGTGAATCGTATTTTAAAAAACACTAAAATTCAGCCTAAATCGTTGATTAAAACCACTCCAACCTTTTATCTTGGCAGTAAGGTTTTTTATTTATTTATTTATTTTTATTTTTTATTTTTAAAAAAAAAAGATATAATAGTATTAAAATGTAGTTTGATACTTGATATAGATTGTTAGTAGATGTTGCCCCGGATCTCTTGATTTACGGTTTTTCAATTATTTTTGAATTTTGGAGCAAGTGTTTAACACACTTATATTCTCATATGATCAAGTGAACACTAAATGACAAATGCCCTAAACGTCTATGACACCAATATAATTACTGGAGTGTAAGAGTACCATCAGCTTAAACACTTGACTGGAGATTAGTATTAAGGATAAGAAGGCGCTTTCCGAGCAAATTATAGAATATTGCTGCAGATGAAGAAAAACAAAAGAAGAAGAAGAAATGGAAGAGGAGAAATAAGGAGAACGAGAGAAAGAACAAAGAGCAGTGTGCTCTACCTCTGCCTATTCTCTCAAGTTATTAAGAATGAAAGTTATGATAATTACAATAATGCCCCCACTATTTTGTCAATTATATTAAATCACAACACTCCCTCTCAAGCTAGAACATAGATATTTTTCATGCTCAGTTTGTTATATGTTTCTGAATGGTTAGTTTTCCCAAACGTTTCTTCTTGTCTTGCTTGTATTTCAGGATTGTTGTTTAAATTACTTGGTGAATGCTTTTAATATTGCTTTTAATGTTGTTTTCTTCAACAGAGTTGCACAGATCCCACTTTCAGCTCGTCAATGCTGTCATTGTTAGACCGGGGCTTTATTTATGCAATTGCCCACATTCGTGGGGGTGGTGAAATGGGGAGGCAGTGGTATGAAAATGGGAAACTGTTGAAAAAGAAAAATACTTTCACAGATTTTATTGCTTGCGCAGAGTATCTGATAGAGAAAAAATACTGCTCTAAGGAAAAACTTTGCATCAATGGAGGAAGTGCAGGGGGATTGCTAATGGGTGCTGTTCTTAACATGCGGCCGGATTTATTCAAGGCTGCAGTAGCCGAAGTACCATTCGTTGATGTTTTGACTACAATGCTTGATCCAACTATTCCTCTTACTACTTCAGAGTGGGAGGTAATCTCTTTTTCTGTTAAATTTAATCACTCGAACTTGTTGTCCTTAAAAACAGTCAGAACTGCATTGGTGGTGTATTGGCTGGAAATTTTGTTTTCCATTCAGAAGATTTGTGTAGAGGATTGGTGCTAAAGTTTGATAGGTTGAATGAAGTCTTCATTAATCTGACCTCCATCACATTTTACAGCCCAAAAGGAAAAGTGTATATGAATCAGATCGTCATAATCTGATGTTTGTGACCTTCTGGTCTCCGACATCATTTTGGCAGGGGCCACCAGATTATGGATTCCTTACTGCTCGTGGCTCACAATAGTTGAACCAAAAGTCCTGTACCTATGATTGTAGGTTTGTCAGGGAAGTGGATTTAAGTAGTGTTCAAAGTAGATGCAGGAATTCATAAGCCATTGCTGTGTGCTTCCTTAACTAGGCATATAGCCACATATCATTATTAGAATTCAGATATGTATTGTCAGATAATCCACATATTCATCAGATATACAGACGCCCCACCCACCCCCAAAAAGCGAAACAAAATATCATGAATTTTGCTTTTGTAAGAGAAGATATGTGTCAACATTTGATCCCGTCGTATTTGGTAGCAATCCTGCCATACAAGTGACTAATCACTAGTTTGGTGTATCCGTCACTTATCCCTCCAGCTATAATCTTCTCAGCGAAGAGCCGACTGGTTACATGTAGTAAGTGCATTTGTTCAAATTTTAAAGATAGCAGAAAGATTAGAAGACTAGTTTGTTATGGTTGATGTCACTGTGTGTGCAACTCCAGCAGGTTGGAGTCATTGGACCCTAGCTCAACCTAACCAGAGGCATGTTTTGATAAAGTTCATTATCATTTTTTGTAACCTAAGCAAACTTTGAGGCCCATAATGCTTTGTAAAACTTTGTTTAATAGTTCAAGCATATCATGTGTGCTTAATTTTTTATTTTATTTTATTTTGAATTATTCTATACTCTAGTTACTTTTAAAACTATAAAAACAAATATAAGAAGGCATATCTTATTGATTTGAAATAATTCTTACATTTCCTTGTGTCATTCAAGAGTTCTGGACACAGCATCATGTTAATCCTAGAACCAATATTTATTCCAAATACTTTGTAATTTTTGAATCCTGCTGCTGTATGCATGGTGCATGATGTTGTTTACCATTGCGTGATTCTTTTGGAGTGTTATTCATCAGTGCATAAAACTGTGCATAACTCACTGTTTTGCATGAAAATTGGAGGAAATTTTTATCCACTTGTCCTATTTTGTAATAAACAAGATTTTAGCAACTCAAAACTTTATAAGACACTATTTTTACTGAAACAACGTGTCCAGAAATATCAAAAACAATCTTAAACTAAATCAAATTAGATTTAGCTTATTCTAATGTGTACGAGCAAAGTCAAAATCACTTAATTACAAAACCATTGCAATCACCTCGTGATCACCATCCAATATTAGTTGAATATGACCAGTAATTTGATCAACACTTGTAACCTTAATCAACTTTCTTTTTGACCAAAAACAACGAAAAGGTAAAATTAAAAAATTGCAACGCACTTTGCATGAAATTTTCCAACCAAATGAGAGGAAGTCTAACATTGTACTTCTGAAAGGAAATATAATTTTTTGTCCAACACTTTGCTTGGTCCGGGGTCCGACATCAACCCGACCAAATCTGCCCAAGTTGCAGCCTTAATGTCATCTTTCACTTTTTGACTTGTAATATCTCCTGGAATGGGATCAGCCAAGTTAATTTGAGGCCCTACAAACCAGTTCTTGAGATTTTTAACAATTTTCTACCTTAACATTCTCATCTTGGTCCCTAGTTCAAAATCTTAAGCTATTTCAGAGGTTGTGTGTAAACCTGATGCTTTTTCATTTGAAGTTGCAGTTCAGTATTTATAGAAATTGATAGCTGATTCCTTCTTATTGTTGTAGGAATGGGGTGATCCTCGTAAAGAAGAGTTTTACTTCTACATGAAGTCATACTCCCCTGTCGATAATGTGAGCATTAAGTACCTCCGTTTCTTTAATTTTGCTTTTGTGAGTTTCCTAAAAACCAGCAAGCTGACAGTGGCCAAAATTGGCACCATTTGAAGTAATTTTTTATTTCTGTAGTTTATTTGACCCTGAATCTTCTATTAGCGATTGTAAACTGTACTCTATCTTTATTTTGTGCAGATCAAAGCACAAAATTACCCAACCATTCTTTTTAAAACTGGTTTAAATGGTAAGTTAGTTGAAAAGCTTTTGTACCTTAGTTTCTTCAATATTAGTAGAGGGTGCCCTTTCCAATATAAGATAGTGCAGAGGGAAGAATATAAATGGGGCAATATTATTGTATATATTTAATAATTTGGCAGAAGGTTTGCTTGGTGGGATCCATTGAACAGTGGATGCTGATTTGCAATGTGACTTGCATTGTGGATAGATTAGAGGATGGACCATTTTGTTCTCATGTCTGATGCAAAATTCCTTCTCATAGTTTTCATTCTAATATCTTTTATGTTGCAACAGATTCACGTGTTCTGTATTCAGAACCTGCTAAGTTTGTAGCAAAGTTGAGAGAGATGAAACTTGATGATAATGTGCTGTTGTTCAAGTGTGAATTCAGTGCTGGGCACTTTTCAAAGTCAGGAAGGTAATATTTTGACTTTATTTATTTATTTTTTCTTTCTGGTTAAGCCCTTACCTTAAGCCATTCAGTTTTCATCTTTCTGCATGAAGGGGTTAAAAACTTAAAATTCTCCAAAAGGTGTAGTGATCACAGGGTTAGAAGGTGAAACTGATTATAGACCTAATTCTTGTTGGTATCTACAGGTTTTAGGCAAGACAGGTATTTGAAGTGAACTTATAGGGTAGAGCAGAATGAAAAGGCAAGAGAGAATGGTTATATAGTTCTATCAAGGTTGAGAAAATGAACATGAGCTTGAATGGTGGTTTGAACTGTACTATCTTACCTTGCATTAATGTTCATTCCATTCTCATGGATAAGAAATCCTAAAATTATTTAGTTGTTCAAATTCAACAAGTTGAACATTCATTTATCAAATAAACCCAACTTTTGGAGGCAGTCTCAGTTAGGTACCCTTTGGGTATTGGGCCTTGCTTTTTCATGTTATTGAATACGCAGGAGAAGGCAAATAAAAAGTTTATGGTCAATCTCATGTGTGTAAATATGTGTATATATAGAAGCGAGACAGATTTTATACTGACGTTGTTTTACGAACAGAAAATTGTTCACTATTTACAGCTAGTCATGAAAATTTGTCACTTTTTAGCACGAAGTTCTCATTATGAATCAACCTTTTGATGAATCCCGTAGCAGTTCAAGAAATATATATATGCAATTCCATTTAGATGACTTAGGTAGCAAAAGGAAGAAAAAACAAGAAAGAAAAAAAAGAAAAAGTTAAGGCAGCCAGATCATTTATCTAAGTATCATAGTACATTGTGTTTAATAATAAAAATAATGGGAGAAAAGAAAATGTCTGTGTATTTGTTTGCGAATTGTTGATTGTTTTTGCTTTTATTGTTTAGTTTTTCTTCTTGCCCATCCTTATTGGCTTGGATTCTTGTGCCCATTCTCTCTATTAACGTGAGTAACTATATATTTTTTCTCACAGCTTTGACCAAATTTTAATCATTTCTTTCAATCCTGTTTTCTTTTTCTATTACATGGGATCTATATATGTGTGTATGTACATATAAAAGGGAGACATGTTCTATGGTGGAGTTGTTTTGCTATTTGCAGGTAGTCCTTAATAATTTGTCACTTAGCGTATAATTTGCTTTACAAACCACCCTTTTGATGAATTCCGTAGTAGTCAAGAAACATATGCACGCATTTCCTTTTAGATCATTTGAGTAAGGAAAATAGGGTGGAGGGGAATAAAAATGGAAAAGGAAGGCTTAAAGACAGCCATATTATTTATCCATGACCATACTACAATGTATTTAATGATTACAACATAACAAAAAATAAATAAATTCGTGGACTGTGTTTGTGATTTAGTGTTTATTTTTACTTTGGTTTTTTAGTTTCCTTCTTGTCCATCCTAATTGGTTTGGATTCTTTCTTGTGCCCATTCTTTCTCTATTAAGGAAGCAACTATATATTTTTCTGGACGCCTTCACCTAATTCTTATTCGTTTTGTTTAAATTTTTATTTATTTATTTATTGTACTATTAATTTTTTTGTTAAGAACCAATATTTGCTTTGTGTAAAAGTAAATGCTGGAGCTGATGAGTATGAGAATGTAGGTTTGAGTCTAAGAAAAACTATATTGTGTAAATAATGTCGAAGGTTATGTCCATTACCCTACATAGCCTGTCCCTCCTAGCATCATTGATTAACAGGGTCGCATTGGGTGAAGCCGGTGAGGGACATTGGTAAATGGCCTTTGGACCCGTTTTGAACTCTGCCAATTTCTATTCCAAACCATAAATCTCCACTATTAAGTCCTCCTATTTAGGCTTTTTAGAATGTTCTGTTGTTGATGAACCGAAGAGGGAAAAGGCTTTAGTTCTGGCATTTTCTGTTACGAATCCTCTCTGTGATTAATATGTGAGTTTTTTGCTGGTTGCAGGTTTGAGAAGCTCCAAGAAGAAGCCTTCAATCATGCTTTTATACTGAAGGCTTTAAACAGGGTTCCTGCTGTTGGCTCCGCGCAGGACTGATGAGGTTTGACGTTCAGTACTAATCATTTTACGGGCTCTGAAAATTTTATCTTTCAGCGGGGACCACATGGTTCTAACCAATCACAACTTGACATGCAAACAAATATGTAGTCTCGAATCATATAATAAATTTTCGCATGCATGACTTTTCACCACCACCACTGTAGGTTTTAGTTTACATTTGTGTTTTATTCATGTTGGAAATTGTTAAAAATTTCATGAATGTATTACTAAAAAATAAATATTAATTTTATTAATTATTAATTTCATTCAATTGTAGCTGTTATAATTTTCCGAGACTTCTTGTCATCCCGTCTTACACTTTCTAATTGCGGTGAAATTTAAATGTAAATAGCGTTGGTGTTGGAATTTGCAAAATACAGAACCAAATCATCTATGTGACAATAATTTTCCGGTATTGTATGAACGCCACCACATGACCACAACTCACGTGAAACGGTCACAAGAAAATTACTTTAGGTGACAATAATAATTGTCCAGTAAATTCGATAATTTCCCATTGTAGGAAAAAAAAATTAACACTACATAGTAAAACTATAAAAGTAAGAATAATCAAAATGCAGGCCAAAGCCCAATTATCGGGTGAAAAAAAACGGAATGTAAAAGGAAAAAATATTTGAACTGAGCCGTTATGGATTGGGCCAATCAGCGCACCAGACCATCGTGCTTGCTTCTTGTTGGTTGGGCATGGCCAGAAAAACACTTACAAGATTCCCCATAAAAATTAATATTCTGTTAATAGGATAAAAGAGTTAATATTCTGTTAATGTTCTCTTTTATATTCTTTGAATATTCTCTTTTATATTCTGTTAATAAAAATTAATATTCTCTTTTATATTCTGTTAATAGGATAAAAGAGCTAAAAAGATTTTTACAATAGAAGTAATTAAATCTTGGAACACGCAATTACACGTGTCCAACAACCAAGTTTGCGATTAGGCTACCAGCGCAACTATGATTAGCACCCCTCTTATTATATAGCCATATAGGAAGTTCCTCTCATAAAGCAATATAAAATAAAATTTTAGTAAACACAATTCTAAATAGAATTTTAAAAATTAATAATAATAATATATAGTTGATAATCACTATTAAAATCATAAATTTCGGTTTTTAATAGATCTATAGATATAAAATAATTAAAATTAAGGCAACTAATTGAAAAAATGTAAACGGTTTCATAAATTGGTTATACGTGGAAAATAATTTATTATTCACATTATATGTTCATTTTTATATAAGGTTATCAAATAATATTGCATGATTTTTGAAGTATGTACAGTATATAACACTGTGGATGTAAAAAAATTGTGATATATATACACATATATGTTATTATATTTTATTTAAAAATAAGATTTTAGAGGATGTGAGGGGGATTTTGATCAATTAAAGTTTGAAGTTTGGAACTTGCATTGGTCGAATATGGCAAATGAATTTTCTATAAAAGAGGGAAAAGTAGTGGGTCCCGTCTAACAAAGTAAAAAAATGTCATAACAAAAAATTTGAATATTTCCATCCCATCTTCACCCAGTGCCGATCACCTGTTAAATAAATATTTTATTTTTTAAGAAAAAAACAACAAAAAGGATGTAAGCTTATAAAATTTTAGAAAAGTGTTTATATATATATTTTCTCTCCAAATTCAAACAAACAAATTTTTTTTATTTTATTTAAAGAATAAATGTTTATTAACATGGTGGTAAACTTAAGAAACCAATGTGTTTCGATTTTGATAACATGTTAGGAAACAAAACTCATTCTAGGTCTTTCACTAACATGAAGTGTTTCTTGCTTTTGTTTCACCCGAAAGCAAAATTATAATTTTAATTTCTTGAAACTAAAACATAAAGTTAAATTATGTTCATAAGGCTTCATATTTAATAAAATAAACCAAAAATTATATCACTAATTATATAATGTATATTCAACAAAGAGCACAAGTGGATTAAAGGTTTAAAATCAAAGAAACAATAATAATTTATAAAATAAACCAAATTTTTTTTTTTGGTCAAAATATAAAATAAAAGGAAAACGTTAAAAGTAGATAGTTTTTTTTTTTTTTTTTTTAGTTAAAAGTAGATAGTTGTTTTTAATGCAATTATTAAAAAAGAAAAAAAAAAGGGGCAATTCTGCTGTATTTTATTAATTTTGTATTGGAACAATAAATGCTTCACTGCGTCAGGCCGAGCGTGAGCATCGGCGGACTTGTATCGCTCTCTTCAAGTCGGCGGTCGCAACGTCTTCCACTTGGTAGCGCCTCCAATTTTCTCATCAGCTTCACCGCTGCAAAAATTCACTCTCAGCTTTCACGCTGCGTCTCATCATCATCAACAGCAATGATATCGACGATGGCCTTGATGGCTCCACCGACGGCCAAGAAAGTGAAGCATGAAATGGAGTTGTTCGGAGACGTCAGAGTCGACAACTACTACTGGCTTAGCGACGATTCTCGCTCTGATTCCGAAATCCTCTCTCACCTCCAAGCCGAGAATGACTACACCGATTCCGTAATGTCTGGTACGTATATATATATATGTATATATTCATAGGCAAGAAACACATACACCCACTTTTGCCCCTCTGGTACTTGACTTTCTACTTTGGATTATAACTTCTAGTGTATAGTCGTACATATATTATATTATTTCATTCTTGCTTCTATCATTCATATTAATGACAATCTATAATGTATTGTTTCTCAAACTCGTCTCTCTCACTCATACAATCAGTAATGTAACAGTTCTAAGATTTATTTGGTTGCTGAATGAGAAACATCTAGGGAAAGGAAGGAAAGAAGGAAATTTTGAGTGGAAGTTTTAGATCTCCATTGGTTTTACATTATTGGAAGGCTAAGTCCTTGGTATATAAATTGTTCTTATATTGGGTATTTTTATATTTTTCATCTTATATTTTTCTATGTTCTCCGATGCCCTACACTGAGTGCGTGTTCATCTTTGACATCTACATATGATCATTGCAGAAATATACACAAATGTATACACAGGACATTTATTTATGAAATAATATACATTATTTTCTCTTTTTGAGTATTATGCCTTTTATTGTGTTCCGTAGTCGAGGAAACTTGGGAAGCCCATTGAATTAGGCAGCTTTGTAAAACTTATACTTTAGCATTTCAAACACACCAGACTTTATAAGCCCACAAAGAAATGTGCACACATTGCTAAGCTTCACCACTACTTAAAACTTAAATTTAACTATTTCTTGCCTATCTCCAGCAACAATTTTTTCTTGTCACATATCAAAGACATTGATAATAATAAAACATCAAAGCTAATAAATTTTCCAAGACCCAAGTGGGTCACATTTTGAGATGTTTTGTTTGGTTGAATGCAAGGGGAGAGAAAGAGTTTTTACCGTCCATTGTTAGGTGGTAAAGAAGAAATGAGAGATTTTATATATTTATACCAATATACCCTCCTTATTTAAGTTAATACATAATTCATGTAAAGCATTCATGGGTAATAATGTCACTTTATGGTACATACTATAATTATCCTTCTATTCCCTTCTTTCTGCCATCCAATTTTGGATGGATGGATAATGGTGAGCCAGGAAGGATTTCTCATCCATCCACCCTTTCTTTCTCTCCAACTCTCCCAGTTTCCAGTGTACCAAACAATGGAGACATGCTTTATCCTTCCTCTCTTCCCTCCTCCCCTCTTCCTAACTACTGAATGAAATCATGAATACTTAAGCAAGCCATGCTTAGGCCTCTTAAGGTTTGGATCAGTTCTTTAATCTTAGTTCCTAAAGTGAATGACTAGTTAAATTCTATGAAATATCAAATGTGTAAGACTGTTGGCATTTGATTTGAGCGTGTCTATGTCAATGGCTGTTGACATTTGATTTGTGTATGTGCACTTGTTGTGTGTTATAATGCAACTTATGTTATGCTGACACCCTAAGAAAATAATTTACACACAGTGGGAAAATAAATAACTGTAAATACTGTCGATAGAATATTTCTAGATCCTTTGTTAAAGGACTAATCCAAGTTGAAAATTGTGATATTGAATGTGTCAACTTATCCATTGAGCATAGTTTCTTTCTGTATATTATATGGATGATCTGATCCGCAAGGACCATGATTGGGAATTTTTTTATTGTCTTTCTCTCAGGAAGAGGCGAAATATAGTCAACTTGAATTATGACACAATTGATGAATGCCGACCTTGTTAAGTTGATTTATTTATAATAGAAGTGATGGAAATGAATTATGGTTTGTAGACTCTCCTAAATCCCACATTAAAGCACTTATAGCAATCATGCATTGTAATATTGAATATATAAACTTATTCTCATATTTGAGAAGGCTAGGTTTATAACTGTTCTATTACTTTTTCAGGGACCAAACACTTCGAAGATCAGATTTATGCTGAGATTAGAGGACGAATCAAGGAGGACGACATCTCTGCACCCATACGCAGAGGTGCTTACTATTACTATAATAGGACCTTGGAGGGAAGGGAATATGTTCAGCGTTGTCGATTCCTTGTTTCTAATGATGGTGCTCCACCTTCTGTTTATGATGTTATGCCTACTGGACCTGATGCTCCTCCCGAGCATGTTATTCTTGATGAGAATATTAAGGCCCAAGAGCATGCATTTTATCAAATTGGCGCTTTTAAAGTAATAAAAATTTCTCCTATGTGCTTCATTGTGATAACCTTTTTCTTTGCCCTTTTTCAATAGTTTATTCCTTATTACTTTGTTTCACTCTCCCCTTGCCCACCCCCTCCACCCTTCTCTCTCATTTTATCTGTCTCCAGGTTAGTCCAAATAATAAACTAGTAGCATATGCGGAAGACACTAAAGGAGATGAGATTTATACAATTTATATAATTGATGCTGAGACCTTAACACCTGTGGGGAAGCCTTTAGTTGGTGTGACATCAGATATTGAGTGGGCAGGTGATGAGGCCTTAGTTTACATCACAATGGATGCGATCCTTCGGCCGGACAAGGTATGATTTTTAAGCTGAACTCATGGTTGAGATTTAATCTACCATTGCCTGCCTCAGCTGTCTCCCTGTTTCTTTCCATTGAAGATTTTTTCCTTGCTTGTCCATCATCCATACAGTTTCTCTCTCTCTGTGTTTTTCTTCATTACAATAACATTCTCCTTCCCCTTTTTAATCTGTACTAGTTTAATTAAAGATTTTTTAGCTCAATTGGTGTCAATATGCTGTTTTCCTACAAAGAAATCTTTGGTTGGTTCTCTTAAGGTGTGTTGGAGAATTGAATGGTTAATACAATCTGTCATGTGCTAATTTTACTGATAACAACCTGCACAGCACATGTCTCGCAGTCTAACGACCAGATAAAGGTGACTATTAGGCCCTGTTTGGAGGGGCTTCCTGCACCCTCAGAACGGGCTTTTAAACCCCAAAGGCCTGTTTCACAAAAAGTTCAATTGTTTGGTTAAATTTGAAATGGACTTTGACCAAAATTTGGATGCTTGAAAGCCCGTTCAGCAGAAGCAACAAAGAATAGCTTTTAAAACCAGTTCCCACAACGTTAGCCATAGTAGATGTAAAGTACAATCTTATCCATGTTCTTATCTCTTTATCACTTCTAATTCTTATCTCTTCATACAATGTCTCGCTAAAACTCCATTGCTTTCACTGAGTAATGTCAGAAAAACACCTGGCCACCAACAACCCGACACGGCGACACATCTGATAACGTTGTCACCGGCTAACCCCATTCTCCACCTTCTATGTTGCCACTTACCACTCCACACCACTGCCACCGGCTAACCTCATGGGCAATATGGCTATTAGTTGTGATCCTTTTATTAGCTACATGCCCCCCACTGCTGATTCCACTTCTTCACCTCCTAATGCTTTGTTCGGTAGGAAAGAAAAAATTTGAATGGAAGGGAGAGAAGGGATGGATGAGACATCCTTAGGGAAGAGATTGCTTTTTTGTTTGGTTGGATAGAAGAGAAGAGAATTAGCTTATAATTTCCTATATTCGTTAAAAGAGAAGGAAAGAGAAAGTTTTAATTATTTTTACCATTATATCAAATAATATTTATAAAATTGTAATTTATATAGGATATTACTGAAATTTAAAACTTGTATAATTTAGGATAGTATTTAATTTAAAACTTCTATAATAGTCCATTTGTCTTCCCTCCTTTCTTCTGCCCATTTTTGGGCAGATTAAAATTTGTAAAGGAGGAAGGATGGGTCATCCTTCCTATTCTCCTTTCTTTCCTTGTATCATCTCTACTGAACAAAGAAAGTTTGTTCCTTCCTTCCTATTTTCTCTCCATACCTCTTCCTTCCTTCCCACCGAACCTCTTTTTCTTTCTATTTGGCTTTGTGTTGAGATATCAATTGGTAGAACCATACGCAGGAACAAAGCCTTTTTATTGGGCAGATTCCTCAAAAGGAATTCAAGAAATTGCAGGGCCTAATACTGCCACCATATAAATTAAACCCAAATAAAATTTGATCAATTATCTAATTAATTGAAGATTAGAAGAGGAAAGAGAGAAAGACAGATAGGGTGTAAAGTAAATGGAGGATGAAGAGCACAACCGGAAAGGTGTGGTGAGAGATGAAACACGCCATTGATTGCCCCTTCTTCTTAAATGCAGGGTAAAACTTTTAATTAAAAAATAAAAAATATTTTTAATTCTCAAATGACTTTAATAAAATTCTTCACCAAACAACTTTTTTATTTCGTATTCATTTTATCAAACTTGCTTTTACAAAGGACTTTTTAATGGAGGACTTTTCATATTAGGAAGCTCCTCCAAACACAACCTTACTTTTTTCAGTTTTGGCTTCTTGAGCTGAGTGCAGATACTCCCCTTGTGACATACATCTTCATTTCATGGTGGTCCTGGTTATGTATTTGTCTGTAAACATTCATGATTCTAAACATTATGTACCCTTGTTCAGAATTTGCTTTTGCAAATTGCAAAGACGAAGGGTCATTGCTTGGTGTAATGGTAAAAACTCAAATTGGTACACTTCTCATTATCTTCAGCTCTCATCTTCAATTCTTGGTTTTTGTCCCCATCCTGCTCTTTTTTCCTTGCTTATTTGGTTAATCCTTTTTTCCCAAAGGGATTAGAAAATATAATTGGTAACATTATCTTGCAATTGGAGATAGGAGATTACATTCGCTCTCATCCTGTGCTTGTATCCTATTGTCTAACTTGTTGGAATGCAACCAAGAAATCATTCTCCTTGTCCTGCTTACCTGCAAAAGAAATAATATGCTTATTCTTTATTGTGAATGGTATTCTACCTAATCTCTCTGCTTAGCTTGTTTTTCTAATTAAATTCGTTTAATAGGTGTGGATACATAGGTTGGGAACAGAGCAATCCATAGACTCTTGCCTTTATCATGAAAAGGATGACATGTTTTCCCTTGATCTTGAGGCGTCTGACAGCAAGAAGTTTTTGTTTGTTGCATCTGAAAGTAGAACTACAAGATTTGTCTTCTATCTTGATATTTCTCAGTCTGAAAATGGGCTTATAGTTTTGACACCTCGTTTGGAAGGCATTGACACATCAGTAAGCCATCGTGGAAATAATTTTTTCATTAAGAGGAGAAGCGAAGAGTGCTTCAATTCAGAACTTGTAGCCTGTCCAGTGGACAACATATCTGCAACCACAGTTCTTCTTCCTCACCGGGAAAGGTAATACAGACTTACGTTTCTTGTTGATTTCTATTGGGTTGTGGCGTTATTCAAAATATTGTTTTAGAATATTTTGTTCTATGCAAATTATAGTTTTACCTTCGTATTAACATAAAGGCTGGGCGTTGTGGTTCTGTTGATGTTAATGCGAGACGGAAAAGCATTAGGAAAGGGGGTTGCATACCCCATGAAACCAAGAATCAAAGAAAAGCTTGAAAGTAGAGCTCAGGGATTTGGCTTGCCATCCTTCCGTTTACCTGCCGTTTTTTTTCAAGAGTGGAGATCCTTGATCCCCAGACCCCTGTTGTTTCTTGTGAGGCTCCACAATAGTGTGTATCTCATGAAGGGGGGAGGGAGGACAAGTGGATCCAATCAAGATAGGGACAGGGAAGGAAGGACCACTGGATCCAATCAAAAGGGTTCTTCACTCTTCTCACCAAAGTCCTGACTCAAAGGAAAGAGGGAGGACCATTGGATCCAACTAAAAAGGGAGGGAGGGAGGGAGCAGTGGATCAAATTAAATCTAATGAGGCCCTGACTCGAGGGAGCTCCTACCTCTTGCCAGTTAATCTCTGGCCTACCACTATTCTGGTTAAAAACCTCGATGTTTCTTTTCTTTTTCTTTCCTCCTCTTTTCCATCTTCATTATTTTTATTTATTTTTTAAATCTCCGCCCTCGTTCTGCATTACTGGTTTTGTATACTGCTGAGGAAAGTAACTCACATTTCCTCTTTTGAATTAGTCAATTCTTTTGTTAAATGAGTACTCACTCATATTATTCCTAGTGCATTTGAGGCAAATTAAAATAGACGAACCAACGGACACTTGAGCTAATCTACTTAGGTCTTGCTTAGCTGGTCTGTTTGACAACCATGCTTCCACCAATTATGCCTGTTTCTGTATTGGAACATTCTGACATATTCACTAAGATATTCTGTTCGACGTAGTTAGCTTACACTTTGTAATGGTGAAGAATGTTGGGGACATATTCACACTTTATGAATTCTGGTCTTTTATCTCAAGAAGTAATATCTTTTTCCAACTCATCATTGATACAGCTAAGATTGAGTCTACTAATTATATCCAAATCTCATTTTAGATCTTTTGCCTATCCTAACTTGTACCAAATTACTCTTGTCTATGTTGGAAAAACAAATATGTTTAGGTTTTCCACTGTATATAACAACCTAAAAGTGAGAACTGAGAAAGATTTTATTACCTGAACCTGCGTGCGTGCACACACACAATAAAAGGAAAAAAATAAAAAGAAAAAAAAGAAAAAGAAAAAGAAAACCTGTAATAATAATTTGACGGTAATTTTACAAGCTTTGTTATGTATAATGATCATGTGTTCTACTTGTTCTTTTAAACTTAAAAGCAAACATCATCGTCTGATAGCAGCGTATGTACTTGAATGCAGCTGCTTTAAATGAATGATCTTGAGACAAACATATCTGCATAAGCATCATCAGCGTTGTATGAACACACAACCATATGACTAACTATCTGAAAGTTCTTCTGTTGCTTGTCTCTGTTGTGATGTTTGTAATTAAGTCCAGTAAGTTTATAAAAGAAAGGAATTTTCCTGGCAGATTGAATTACACATGCATTCTAGTCATCAAAATTGTATTCTGTGATGCAGCCATTCTGTAATTTAACTGCAATGCACTTTTATATTCATTCTTAGTAAATTGTAGAGAAATGTGATTTCTTTTCTGGTCACCATTTCATAAAGTTTTTCTTTGAGGGGCACTGTAGTCACGAGTTAATTAGTTTCAGCTTTTGTCCAGTGTAAAGATTCAGGACGTACAGGTTTTTAGTGATCATCTTGTCACATATGAGCGTGAAAAGGGTCTGCCCAGAATAACTATATATTGCCTCCCAGCTGTCGGAGAACCACTTGAAAGCCTTCAAGGTGGTCGGTCTGTTGATTTCATTGATCCTATATATTCAGTGGATCCATCAGAGTCAATATTTTCTTCCAGCATCTTACGGTTTTCTTATAGCTCAATGAGGATTCCTCTCTCTACATACGATTATGATATGAACACAGGGATTACAGTTCTGAAGAAAATTGAAGCAGTAAGTTATATCAAAATAGACTATCAAATTCTTAGCAGTTCTAACTGAATATTATATTACATGTCTTCGTTGTAGTTCAGTCGTATTTGGACTCATTAATTAGTGTGCTCTCTTTCCTTTATTTGTGGATACTCAACTTCTTTATTCATCAAAGATTTGGTTACTAGTTTTCTTAAGGTTGTTCTTTAATATAAAATTTATATTTGATAAATTTCCACTTGTCTCATGTTCCTCTGCTAAAGATATATCTTCCTCAAAGCTTCCATGTTTTGGAAGGAATCAGGATTTTGCTTGATGTAACAATGATGCTGACTCCTTTTTATATTTTAATGGTGAACATACTTAATCTATCTGCTACCATGTTTTAGACTTGGTTGGGATTAGTGGAAGATTTCTTCCTTTTCAAGTTCTTCATAAAAAATTTGTGATTGTGGCCATCTGGTGGAAAGGACAGCCATCTTTGAGGTTGCCTCTGCCTTCACTTATTTCCCTCCTAATAAAATTTGTTTAGTTTCAAATAAGAAAAAAGAAGAAAAAGAGTTCTAAAACTTAACCAAGTTTGTAAATTTCAGCTGTAACTTCCTTCTAATAATCTGGGAAAAATTTGTGCTATGGTGGTATATTGTTAGTGGATTCTCGAAAATACCATAAATTGAGCTGAAAGTTTGGAGTTACTAAGTTTGTCTGTGTGATTTTGATGCAGGGCGCACTGCAGAGCCTCTTTTAATTTAAAGGATCAGATTTAGTGTTTAAATAAGGGGCAAAATGCTTGTAGGAGCTAGGGATGCAGGAGATAGGAATTGGTTATGTTTTCAGAGGTATTCAGTTGCTGGAAATTCTGCACAGCTTTATTCTATGGTTTTTGGGTGTTACATCGAAGAGCAAAAGGCGAGGGAAGGGTAAAGTTCAATTAGGGTCGGGTTGGACAGAGTTTTGGGAATAAGAAAGAATGGTTTTGGAGATTTGTACTTATCAAAAAAAAAAAAAAAGAAAAAAGAAAAAAGAAAAGAAAGAATGGTTTTGGGGATTTTTCTAGGTTTTCTCGTGTTGTTTGAACAGTAAATCTGGCTCGTTGTGGTTCGATGGTTGCTATTTGGAGCTTAGCCAATGACCAGTAAGGCTAAGAGTCTGGGGTCAAAGCTATGCCCGGAAGATGGAATTGATCAGCCTTAGCCTCAAAAAGTGAAGCAAAAGCTTCCAAATCAGTAAAAGAAAGGTTTGCTGATTCTGCTGGCGATGTGGAAGCTGACATGGCAGTAGTAGAATATTTGATTTGGGAATGATTGAACTTATTACAATAAGAGTTTTATGGTTGAGTCGCAAGAAGAATGGTTGATGATATCTGATTGAAGGTATAGAAATGCAGAAAATGAAAGAAAAGGAGAAGAAAGTTTGACAATTAAGCTATTCGTTACATCTAGATTCTCAAGGGCATCAAGCCTAGGGTTAGAATTGGCATCCAGAATCCCAAAAGAGTTTCAAAGCTTATGAAAAATCTCAGTGGAAATAAGTAAGCAAGTGATATATAGGTTGCTGCACTATTTGAAAACTAGGTAGAGAAATATTGACTCATTAGACCTTTATAGACCAAATAAACTATCACTAAGCTCGGCATAATAAAATAACCTGGCCCAAACTGAGACCAACCTGTTTTTTTTTATAAGTAAGAATTTTATAAAAAGCGCTCAAAAGGGGAGCGCATCCCAAGGGAACAAACAAAGGCCAAAACAGCCATTACACTTTAAAAGAGGCCCAAAAATCAACAATTTCTTCTAAAGATCTATAAGCTCTACCTAAGACCCAACAAAAAAGAGTGGAAACAATAGAGAACTTAAGAAAAGAAATAGGCCTCTCCTTCCCCTCAAAATATCTTCTATTCCTTTCAAGCCAAATACACCACCACACATAGAGAGGTATAGCCCTCCAAGCATCACGAACTTGGGCCCCCACAAAACACCATCTCCAAGCCTCAACCAGCTCTCTAGCGGAATGAGGCATGACCCACTGGAACCCAAACAAGGCCAAGCATCAAATCCCAACAATCCTTGGCCATGGAGCAATGCAAAAGAAGATGGTCCACTGTGTCCTCGTCCCTAAGATACATGTAGCACCGATTGACCACCACCTGATTTCTCCTTCTCAAATTATCCTGGGTTAAAATTTTGCCCCACACAGAAGTCCAAGTAAAGAACAACCTATGACAGCCTATGTCTTGCAAATATTGAAATTAAGAGAATATGCTCAGTTCTAGAAACTTGTATCTAAATAAAATCAAAACAGAAGCAAATTAAGCTAGAGAAAGCATAAAATAAGGACCAACACAATCTAAAACTAGACCTTAAGAGGTCCAGAATGGGCTTGCCTTCAAATCTAATAATTTCTTGAAAAAATTCCCTATCTCTTATGAAGCCTTCTATATCCTTGCTCCATGGCGATGGAACATGAGGAAGAGCTGTTGTAAATATTTTTTGTTATATAACTTTTGATTATGGAACCCTGTTGGTGAAGATTTGGAAGTGGAAGCATACTTTCTTCACCTTTTAAATTTTCAACCAACCAATCACAAAATTGAAATTAAAACGAATCAAAAACATAAAATCTAGAATTTGTATGACCAACACACATCAAGTTTTGAATAGGACTTTGCCAAAATCATATACCCAACACATGACTCATATACCTAACATTCAATTTCTGAGGTAAATAAGGCGAGTTTTTAGGAAATGCTAGATATGTATATAAAAACTTTTGATTTTTAATGAAATATTTTTGAATTGCAGGTAGACCTCCAAGAACTTTTGGAAGATCAACTTCACCTTTTATTTCTTTTGGTGTCTTAGAAGTATCTACATGACTATGCCACTATGCCCTAGATTTCATCTTCTGCATTTAGTAGACTGTACATGAAATTTGAGACTGATGCCTATTATTTTGGTGACAACTATTTCTCTCTGTTTATTAAACTATTTTGTTGTCATTACTTTTCTTTAAGGTATATATGGTCAAATATTAATTTATTTTTTACATATATTTTTCTAATGTTTGACTCAGGTGTTGGGAGGTTTTGATGCCTCAAATTATGTAATTGAAAGGCAATGGGCTTCTGCTTCAGATGGTACTCAAATTCCTTTATCAATTGTTTATCAGAAGAATCTTGTGAAGCTTGATGGGTCTGATCCATTACTACTTTATGGTTATGGTTCATATGAGGTAATGTTTGATTTTATGAATACTTTATGGTTATGGTTCATATGACCTGAGGTAATATTTGGTTTTATGATTACTTTGTGGTTATGGTTCATACGAGATAATGATTGATTTTATGAATCAAACAGCCACATGTTCAGGAAGAAACATTGACTCATTAGGGACTTGGGGTGGTTGTACTCAGTCGGCTTATTAAGCTACCAGATGTGTTTGGTCCTCATTTTTTCAACTTTTATGTTTACAACAACCCTCTATCAATTCTAAACTCAATTAAAACCTTAGATTTGTGAATCAAATTTTAAAAAACACAATCTAAATCTTAGATTAAAAACACTCCAACCTTTCACCTGATCAGTAAGGTTTTGCTTTTTTGCAAATTCTTTCCCCACCCAGATATAATATGAAAGTGTTATTTGATAGTAGATCTATAGATTGTTAATAGATGTTATGTATGTCTCAATTTTTATTTTTATTTTTATTTTTATTTTTTTTCATAATTGGTGTTGTATTGATGTTCAAAATATAAAGATTAATACAGGATCACAGAGGGCATACCCTCAGAAAACTGAAAAAGAAAAAATGTAGGACAATGTGCTTATTGAAAAAGCCCATTTCCAGTACAAAAACAATAAACCAACCCAGGAATTATCGAATAACATCATTAAGAATAACACCCACCTCCATGAGAGCAGTCCTTGCCACTACCCCCAAGAGAACACTAGGAGATCCATGCAATCTATTATTTCTCTCTCTCCAAATATGCCAAAGACCAGCAGCAAACAAAAATATGATCTGTATTATCAAGACTATTCTGACACAAGGAGCATCTAGCAGCCAAACACACCTTCCTTATTTGTAAATTAGTCATTGAAGGCAATCTATCCTGTAGACCCAGAACTGCTGTGATAGACCACCTAGGCCTTGCCTTGCCCCAACATAGTTTATACCATGGTACCTCTATCCCCACACTTCTAGTAACTCTCCAAGCATTCTTAAAAGAAAATTTTCCATCATCCCACTTCAGTAAATCTTCCCCAGCTCTTATGTCAACTGTCTTCAAATAATCCCGAACTGAAATCAAACTGTCAGCTTGCAAAATATTGAAATTCCAAACACCATTCAAAAGTAAAGAACTAATAGTAGCTTCTCTGGGTAACTGTAATCTTCTTATCACTCTGTGACCGAACGAAGACCTGAAGAAAAGTCCTCCACACCATGGATCCTTGAATAATTTGATCTGCTGTCCATTCCCAATCTGGACCTTCATATGCTGCTGTAAAACTTCTCTAACTGCCACCAAAGATTTCCAAACAGTTGAGCTTGTGTTTCTGCTAATCACAGTCCAATAATTAGAATGTGAAGCATACCTGAAATTGTACCAAGAAATTCACAACTTGTCTTTACTATTAAGAAAGTCCCAGGCTAAGACACATCTGGAGGCCATTTGAATATCAGACAGCTTACGTAAACCTAACCCCCCTTCTGCTTTGGTTTTAGTAACCCTATTCCAGTTTAAAAGATGCATTTTCTTTGCATTTTCAGTACTGCCCCAAAGGAAATCCCTACACTTCTTCTGAATTTGATTAATAACTGCCACAAGTATATCATAGATACTACACCAGTATTGAAAAATAGGTGTGACCACAGCCCTGAGCAACTCCAATTTACCTGCTAATGATAAGATTTTGGTGTCCCAGCAGGTTATTTTACTAGAGATCCTATCCATCAGCTCTTTACAATGAGTTCTCTTCAGACCATTTGGACACAGAGGCAACCCCAAGTATTTAAGAGGGAAACAATCTTCAGCACACTTCAGGACCTGCAACAAGGCATTTTTCCTTCTCACAGCTCTGGAGAACAGAACCCTACTTTTCCCTTGATTGATCTGTAATCCAGTATTCTCCTCAAATCTCTTGAGAATATTATCAATCACAGTAGCATTATGAATTGTTGCTTCACATGCTAACATCAAGTCATCTGCAAAAAATATATGAGTAAAAGGATGTTGAAACTTTTTCACAGCATTCAAAACAACCAGCTCTTTCTTCTGCACAGCCTCAGCGACTAAAGTTGAAAAAAGTTCTCTAATAAGAGTAAATAACAGAGGGGAGAGAGGGCATCCTTGTCTCAGCCCTCTCTCTGGTTTAAAAAACCCAGCAGGAGTACCATTCAGCAAAATTGAGTATCTAGATGAATTGAAGATGGAGAGAATTAACTCAATCCAACCATCTCTGAAGCAACTTTTTTAATGCTGACACCAAACACTCCCAAGAAACCGAATCATAGGCTTTCCTACTATCAATCTTAAGGGCCATAGCAGGATGAGTAAGCTTGTTAAAATCCCTCACCAATTCATGAGCCATGATGAGTGCTTCTTGAATTTTCCTACCTTGTACAAAAGCACATTGTTCCATTCCCACCAATTTGGGTAAAACTAAAGCAAGTCTGTTTGCCATAATTTTGGTGATGATTTTATAGACCAAATTACACAGAGCTATTGGCCTAAAATCTCCCAATTTAGAAACATCTCCCACCTTTGGAATCATTGTAAGAAAGGAACAACTTACCTTATAGGCATAGTTTTAGTAGTAAAAAAATGTTGGACGGCGGCCACCACTTCTTTGTCTACCACAGTCCAAAAAACTTGATTAAATCTTGCTGGAAAGCCATCAGGCCCAGGGGCTTTATCAGGAGGAAAGTATGTCTCAAATTCTTATTGGGTTGGGAGTTGTATTGGTTTTAGAATGCTCTACTTGAGCCCCAAGTAGTTGCTTTCCTTGCCCAACAGGGATTTGTATTACTTGCTCACCAAGCTAGGGTTATGAACTCTTTATAAATAGAGAGGGTTGGAGTTGAGTGGATAGGGCAGAGAAGAAAAGAGAATGGAGGAGTGAGTGAGTCGAGAAGAGAGTGGATGGGTGCAAAAGGGCACCAAGGGTAGAGAGATGCAGCTTCATATGAGTGAGTGGGTAGAACACTGATGATGGGGAGTGGTAGATCATGAAAGGCCCAACTATCCAACACCATAACTCGGGTAGAGAGTGTTTGTGTTTGTCCACGGTTAGTTGTTCAAAGTCTCAATTGGTGTAATTTCTCATGAGGCAGTAAGGGAGTGGACATTCTCTACAGTTGTATAGTCTCTTCTTTATTTCTTCTCTCCATGGACGTAGATCGAGTTCGGTCGAACCACGTAAATATAGTGTTATGATGTGTGCTAGTTTGTGAGTTGCTTACGTTGTGCCGAATGAAGGGGATTAATTCCCAACAATAGATATTGGATCGGACCTCTTGATCCACCGATTTTTCAATAATTTTTGAATTTTCTTTGAAGGGGATAGCGTTTAACACGACTAAATGACAAATGCCCTCGACGTCTATGACACTGATGTAATTACTGGAGTGTAAGAGTACCGTTAGGTTAAACACCTGACTGAATATTAGCATTAAGGGTAAGAAGGTACTGTCCCAACAAATTATAGATTGTTGCAGAAGAAGAAGAAGAACAACAACAACAAAGAGCAGTGTGCTCTACTTCTGCCTATTCTCTCTTAAGTTATTAAGAATGAAAGTTATAATAATTACAATAAGGCCCCCACTATTTTATCAGTTATGTTGAATCCCAACACTCCCTCTCAAGCTAGAATATTGATATTTATTATGCTCAGCTTGTTATATATTTCTGAATAGTTAGTTTTCCCCAATGCTTTGGTAAAAGTATCTAATTGAAAATTTCCATTATTAGCACTCTTTTTTGTTGGGTTTTTGGGAGAAATTGTAAATCCATGGAGGTGATAGTTGATTTTTTGGACTCTATGAGTTAGAGGCCCTATTTGGGCTTATGTAGTTTTTGAGGGATGCATTCCCCTTTTGAATGCCTTTTTATATCAAACATATCAAAAAAAAAAAAAAAAAAAAAAAAAAAAAGTAGTATCTAATTGAGCTCTTCATTCAAAGTAAAAGGTCATTATGTTTTTACTAAGTACCAATCTCTCACAAAATGACAATCTACGTCTGTATGCTTCATTCATGATTCATAGGATTATTAGCTATGGACATAGCTGTTTGTTGTTTGATTATCTCAAACCATGGGCTTATTGGCAAATCACATAACTTGTAAAAGAGATTTTACCACATTATCTCACGTGTCGTATCTGCCATCCCTCAATATTATGCCTTTGCACTTGATCTTTCTACTACAGTTTGCTTCTTGCCATGTTACCAAATTATTTCTCACAAATATACAATATCCCAAAATAGAAATCCTGTCCATTTGGTTTCCTACCCAATTAGCATATGAAAAACCAATAGTACCTAAATTCTTGGAGGGCTTAAAGATAAGTCCTCTACCATGTGCTCCCTTCAAATATTTTAAAATGCAGTAGACTGCAATGTGGTTGTCTAGGTTTTTGCATGAGTCGACTAGCTATCCCAAAAGCAAAGGCAGTGTGTGGCCATGTCACTGTAGTCAATTTCTCAAGAAGTTTCTGTGTCTCGTTGGATTATTATTGACATAAGCGTATTCCTTTTTGCAATTTTGTAACCTCTATTTTGAAAGAAGTTTGTGTATCTCATTGGATTAGTATTGAGATATGCATATTCCTTTTTGGGATCTTGCAACCTCTTTTTGAAAATGTACCTCAGTTGACCTGTGTCTTTCGTGTGACAATATTTGTCTAGAAAATCCTCAAGTTCATCAATACCTTGCTGTCATCCAATCACAACAATATCAACTAGGATGATAGAGCCACTTTGACACTGGTGTGCAAAGACAGAGTGATCAGACATAGTTCGCTTTAACCTTAATTTACCCACAACTGTACTGAACTTCTCAAACCAAGCTTTTGAAATCTGCTCCAACCACTCATATTTTTCCTTAACCTGCACGAGATATGTGACTCACCTTGAGTAACAAGCCCAGGTGGTTGCTCCATATTTACCTCTTCATGGAGATCTCTATGGAAGACTTATAAAAAAAATGGAGATCTCTATGTAAGAAAGCATTCTTCATTCTTGATATCAAGGTGGTAGAGGGACCAACTCTGTATTGCTGCAACTGATAAAATAACCGGAACAGAACTAAGTCAAGCTACAGGTGAAGATTTTTTTAAAGTAGTCCATTCCGAATGTTTTAGTATATCCTTTCGCCACTAAACAAGCTTTCAACATTTCAATTGTACCATCAGATTGATTTCAATAGCGTAAACAATCTACAACCAACTGCTTTCTTCCCTTGAGGCAAGGGCTAAATAGTATGATGAGTGCAAGTGCAAAGTGCCTTTGCATTTAGGAAATAGGATGGACATCAGCAGATGGAATTTCACCCAGAGTAGATGATTGGTGGGGAGGAAATTTGTTTCCTTGGGATGCTGATGATAAACTTGAAGTGGTTTACTATCTGGGCAGGAAGTGTTAGAAACAAAGAGTAAAGGAATCATAAGATCCCGATCCAAGGACTGACAAAGAGAAGAAAAGAAAGAAGTGGCTTAAAAAAAGTTACATCCATACTTCCAAAACAGTGTGTGAGTGAGGATTCCTACAACTATACCCTTATTGAGTGTGCAAATGTCCAAAAAAAACACTTGTGACTGCACGAGGAAATAATGCGTCACTCCCAGAACTTCCTGAGCAAAGCAAACACAACCAAAGACACTGGGTGATAACCAAATAATGGACGGTGAGGATAAAGAATAGAATGAGGAGACCTCCCTTTAAGAATAGAGAGGGCATACTATTAATAAGATGACAAGCTGTTAAAAACAGCACCTCCCCAAAACTCCCTTGAAACATGCATATGTACAAGGCATTAGCTATTTCAATCAAATGCTGATTCTTACATTCTGTTATACCATTTTTTTGGGGAGTAGAAAAAGGAAGATGTTTGATGGATAAAAACTTGAGTATTACAAAAATCAGAAATGGCACCTTAGAATATATTGCATGGCATTGTTAGATCTCAAGACACGAATTGCATATCCAAATTGAACTTTTTTACTAAAAATAACCAAGTCATTATTGAGTAATCGTTAATAACAAAGTATGAACCTAAAACACCTAATTTCAAATAACAGATTTTTTTTTGGGTGCGTACTCTGGTAGAAATAGTTGGGCTGCTTGTTATATGCACCAATAAAGTGTGTTAGACTACCAATTGTCCCAAAAGCTTAAGCTGTGAAGGAATGTCCCAACAATGTGTATCAAGTTCTCCAATAGCCTCCCTCACGTGTAACCCCATCTTGCATGTGGATAGATTGAACGTAATAACTGTGAACTTGCAATCATATGCAGAGAAAGGAACTGAGGAACAGATGCAGGGTTGGAATCTAAGACCTCCTAGAACCAAAGCATTGATACCGTGTTAACCACTATCTAATTTAAAAGTTTAAGTTGTTAGAGAGGCTGAAGCTTAATATTGGCTTAGTTTTATTATAGGGTGGTTGTTGATAAAAAAACATTTCTCATAAAGTTGGCTCACCATGGTTTAAATATCAGATTTCAGCGACCTATTTTTTGTATTGGAAGTTAATTCATTTTTTTTTTTTCTTCCCTGAGTTGGTTCAACAGAAAATGGGTTGGCTCCTGAGCAGACTGTGTGAGGTCTGGTCCTGTGTAGAACTAGTTCCTGAAAAATGACTATCTTGCAGCAAGTTGATGTCATATTTAGGATTCAATGAGTCAATTGAGGGGTCCGGCTACTTGTTGGCAATTTGTCTAGGGTTCAGCTACATTCTGCAATGAGATGGATTCATGTTCTGACAAAGTGATGTCGGCATGTTTTTGGTTGTCCTGACGACCCTCGTTTGATCTGTTATGTGGTTTCGATGGTGAGATATTAGGGTTTCTGTAAGAATAGTGCATCTATAGAAGTTTCAACACAGATGGGATAGATGCCATACCATATTGTAGCAGATGAAGAAGAAAAAAAAAAAGAGAAAAGGGAGAAGAATAGAAATAAGGAGAATGAGAGAGAACAACAAAGAGCAGCATGCTCTACCTGAGTCTATTCGCTCTATTTTATGGTTATTAATGAATTAATATATGATAATTCCAATAGAGGCCCCACTCTTTTATATGATAATCCCAACATAGACCATAATATGAGACAACACTGTTAATTGTTCTCCTAATCTTTATTTCTAGAAAAACACAGTGATTAGGAAAGTGTAACTGAATAAATTAAAGAGTCAGCAAAGAAATTTAGGACATGGAGTACTGATGAGAATGATATAGAGGAAAAGTGACGACTAAAACCTTTAACAGAGACCGATAACGAACCATCTCCCACTAAAAGTACTATATGAGTAAAGTTGGAAGAATTGGTAGTAGAATGCAGATGAGGTATGAAATCGGGCAATCGAATGCCTAAGATTCTACACCTCCTCTTTAGTATTAGTAGTAAGTAGCGCCATTAGGGTGAGATGTGGCCTCAGAATTGTCAGATACATGACCATGTGACTTAAAGAACCAAATTTTCCATTACCTCAGTTCTTGAGTAGGATGATCATGAAGTTTCCAACACTGATCCCTAGTGTGACTCGTGACACTTGTCTTTTCGCGCAAATCACACTTTAGTTGGAATTTCACAGAACTTTTACTTTTGTTGTTAACACAATTTTGTCTATTCTAGTGTCTTTCTCAGAGGTATTGACTATTTCAGATTGATCTGGGGTCACAGTATGGAGTAAAGCACTTCTCCAATTTTCCTCTTGCTGAACACATACTTAAGCTTGTCTCGAGGAAGGAAATGGGTCTCTACTCATTGAACACGAATTTGATCATACTCCATATTAAGACCAGTAAAAAAAAATTATACACCCATTCCTTTTCAATCTACTTTTGAAATTTTGCAGTTTCACTAATACAATCTACTTAGAAATCTTGATAGTAGTTTAGCTCCTGCCACAGGTATTATGCTCATCATGGTATTCAGCAATGATCTATATTTTTTATTTGGTCTTGGCAGTCTTGTGCCTGAGTTTATTGACATGGGCATCACTCCCCATGTATGAATAAATCTGAGTTGTAGCATCCAGATGGCACATGTTATATCACGAAGAAGATAGTCAAGATTTATACATGTCTGCAAAGTATGTAGTAATCAACACATCACCAATATATTTTGAGACTCACTGAATACAAGAATGGTCGGATGACTTTAACTTTATGCTCACCCCTGTCAGGAGTCCATACAAGCCATGATATTGAACTAACAATAGGCAAGAAGCTGATCATGCTAAATATTGGTCCCATCTAACTTCGCTGGACCGATCTAAAGGAATGGTAATTTCCAAGACTCCCTATGTGACTCAACCAATCTCCTTCACTGCTGGTAGAATTTGTACTAATCTTTGACTCGTCTACGCATACAAATGGGCATTACCCAATACCCACCAGAATATTGCAGCTTGAAATAAGTATTTCCACTGAGGAGATATGGTAGCCTTTAAAAAGCCGAAGCATGCTAAAAAATCACCACAGGTTTAGCAACATGCTGATAAAAATGAAAGATTTCAGTAAGAACAAATTAAAAGAGCTGAAAACTTAGCCCTACAATGATGTCATTATACAGACATACAGCACACGTCTGACAATTCCCGACATGCTTTCAGTACATTGCAATGACTTCTGAGACTCTGGCTGATGGTTTGATACTAAGTTGAAATGTGATATTGGTTGAGATTAGGTTTGAAATGAGAGAATGAAGAAGAGAGATACCGTAAAAGTTTAGGAGAGATTTATATTTCATATCTTTACACCCACATGTATTTTATACATTACCAAATGAGTAACAATTAGAAAAAGAGCCCCACACTAGAATTTTCCAACATATTGTAATGGAGAGTCCTAGCATCCACAGTTTTTTGAGAAAATAATGTAACGCTTCTTGTCTTGCTTGTATTTCAGGATTCTTGTTTAAATTACTTGGTGAATGCTTTTAATATTATTATTTTTCTTCAACAGGCTTGCATAGATCCCAGTTTCAAGGCGTCAAGGCTGTCTTTGTTAGACCGGGGCTTTATTTATGCAATTTCCCACATTCGCGGGGGTGGTGAAATGGGGAGGCAGTGGTATGAAAATGGGAAACTGTTGAAAAAGAAAAATACTTTCACAGATTTTATTGCTTGCGCAGAGTATCTGATAGAGAAAAAATACTGCTCTAAGGAAAAACTGTGCATCAATGGAAGAAGTGCAGGGGGATTGCTAATGGGTGCTGTTCTTAACATGCGGCCGGATTTATTCAAGGCTGCAGTAGCAGAAGTACCATTTGTTGATGTTTTGACTACAATGCTTGATCCAACTATTCCTCTTACTACTTCAGAGTATGAGGTAATCTCTTCTTCTGTTTTAAATTTAATCACTTAAAACTTGTTGTCCTTAAAAACAGTCAGAACTGCATTGGTGGCACATTGACTGGAAATTTTGTTTTCCATTCAGAAGATTTGTGTAGAGAATTGGGGCTAAAGTTTGATCGCTTTAATGAAATCCCCATTAATCTGATCTCCAGCGCATTTTACAGCCTAATAGGAAAATAATATATGAATCAGACGGTCACAATCTGATGTTTGTGACCTTCCGGTCTCCGACATTATTTTGGCAGGGGCCACAGATTATGGACCCCTAACTGCTCATGGCTCACAAGTCACAAAAATTGAATCAAATGTCCTGTACCTATGATTGTAGGTTTGCCAGGGAAGTGGGTTTAAGTAGTGCTCAAAGTAGATGCAGGATTCTCTACCTATTTCTTTTGAATATATATAGATAGCATAAAGTTACTTGTAATAAGTGCAATTGATAGCAGAAAGTTTAGAAGACTAGTTGGTTATGGTTGATGTCACTATGTGTGCAACTCAAGCAGGTTGGAGTCGTTGGACCTAGATCAATCTAACCAGAGGTGTGTTTTGAAAATGTTCATTGTCATTTTTTTCTTTTTTCTTTTTCGGTCCCCTTAGATTACAGTTAGGTTCGGATTAACCTGTCCTGGTCAGGTTGCACTTGCATCGAGGCCTTGGCAGCCTAAGCAAACTTGAGACCCATATTGCTGCTTTGTAGCTTTTTGTTAAAAATTGTTTAAGCATATCATGTGTGTCATGCTTAAAAAGTTTTTGAATTATTCTCTACCTTAGTAACGTTTTAAACTATAAAAAAAAATATAAGTTATATCTTATTATTACTATTATTATTATTATTGTGATGTTTTGGCCCGAATTTGGTGCCAGGTCACGTTGTGTGGGCCCAAGATCATGAGCCGTGAAAAATTTTCGACCCCTTTTTTGCTCATGGGCCGTGGACGTAGGCTGTTGCCGAACCACTTAAAAATCTTTGTGTTCTTTGTTTGGTGTGTTTACTTTTCTGTCGTGATTCTTGGTTTTATCTTGGGTTTGTTGTGTTTGTCATAACAATTATTATTATTTCTGGGTAAGGCATATCTTATTGATTTCAAATGATTCTTACTTCACATAATGATTGTCACTTAAAGAACAACATTTCTGTTACTTCTTTTTTTTTTTTGGCTTATTCTTCCAAGTCCCCGCAATTTTCGTAAATATGCTCTTAGGTCCTCTTAAAATGGTTGGATCAGGAATAAATCTCATTACATATAAAGGATGCCCTGTAATGGCATTCCTAGTGTCATTCAAGAGTTCTGGACACGGCAGCAGGTTTATCCTGCTGCTGTGTGCATTTGCATGATGTTGTGTACCAATGCATGATTCTTTGGAGTATTATTCATTGGTGCATAAAACATTGAATAACTCACTGTTTTGCTTAAAAACTAGAGGAAATTTTTCCAAATTGTCCTATTTTGTAATAAACAAGATTTTAGCAACTCAAAACCTTTTAAATCTATTTTTGCTTGAACAAGGTTTCCAGGGATATCTAAAACAATCTTAATCTAAATCAAATTAGTATTAGCTTACAAAAAATTACCTGATTCTAATGTGTATGAGCAAAGTCAAAATCAACCCTTAATTACAAAACCATTGCAATCAACTCATGATCACCATCCATTATTAGTTGAACTTGACCACTAATTTGATCAACACTTCTAGTCTATTCTAAAGAATCAACTTGCTTTTTGACCAAAAGCAACTAAAAGGTAAAATAAAAAAATTACAACCCACTTTGCATGAAATTTTCCAACCAAATGAGAGGAAGTCTTTCATTATACTTATGCAAGGCAATATTATTTTTCGTTCAACCCTTTGCTTGGTCCTGGATTGGACATCAACCCAACCAAATCTGCCCAAGTTGCAGCCTTAATGTCATCTTTCATTTTTTTTGACTTGTAATATCTCCTGGACTGGAATCCAATCAAGTTTGAGGCCCTACAAACCGGTTTTTGAGTTTTTCAACAATTTTCTACCTTAACATTCTCATCTTGGACCCTAGTTCAAAATCTTAAGCTACTTCTGAGGTTGCATGTAAGCCTGATGCTGTTTCATTTGAAATTGATAGCTGATTCCCTCTTGTTCTTTCAGGAATGGGGTGATCCTCGTAAAGAAGAGTTTTACTTCTACATGAAGTCATACTCCCCAGTTGATAATGTAAGTGTTTAAGTAACTCTGTTTCTTTAATTTTGCTTTTGTGAGTTTCCTAAAAACTAGCAAGCTGATAGTGGCCAAAACTTGGCACCTTGTGAAGTAATAATTGATTTATGTTGATTATTTGATTATGAATCTGCTTTATTTTACACAGATCAAAGCACAAAATTATCCAGCCATGCTTTTCACAGCTGGTTTGAATGGTAAGTTACTTGAAAAACTTTTGTATTTTAGTTTCTTCAATTCTAGTAGAGGGATCTCTTTCCAATATAGGACGGTGCAGAGGGAAGAAGTTCACCCCCCCCCCCCCCCCTCTTCCCCGGGAGACCATCTTTACTATGCTTGATGATGCTGCTTAAATCTGAATGTCCAATGGATCCCACCTGTAACATCTAATAATAGATTTTAACCTGAAAAAACGTGGTTAGAAACATCGACTAGGTTTTCATGTACAAGTGTCAGGGCTCCTTATAATTTTCCGAGGGCAATGCTTTTGCCACTTGGAAACATCGACTAGGTGTTCTTGCGACTTTGTTGGTTGCATTTTCAATTTGGCACATTCTTAACAAGGTGATTAGCAGAGTTATTGCTTGTTCAGTAGAAGTGCTAATATTGTTTGTGGAAGTTAGCGACTCTTATAAGATGTTCTTCATATCTTGTTTCTTCTGTTATTTCCTCTTTTCCCTACATATATTGATTTTTATATTATTCTAGAGGGAAATTACTAAACATTATGACTGTGGTGGGGATTAACTGGGTATGCTTCAATTCTTCAAGACATTTTAATTGATCAATAATGCATGCTTAAGAAGTTCGTGTTGGTGATAAAAAAAAGCCAATTCATGGGGAGCTTCTTATATGTTCACTCATATTTATTGTTAAAGGCACACCCAATGCATGCGCACGAGGCTCCCGCTTGTTACGACAAAAGCAGCAAACCAAGAACAAATCATGAATCACGGCATGAAAGCAAAACTCCACACACAAAGAAGACAAAGATTTACGTGGTTCGGCTTAAAGTAAACCTACGTCCACGATGAAGATTGGCGAAAGATTTCGCCATGCAAAATTAGGAGATTACAAGTTTCAGCCCCCAAACCCTAACTCTCGCTCTCTTTGCTGCGATTTTCAATGTCTCTCGATACACTCCAAACCCTAAGTGCCCTTATGTACCGGGCTGCAAAAGAGTACTAAACAGGGTCGACGCTCTGCAAGACAGAGAAAGGTGCCAAGTCAAAAAAAATAAAAAAATTCAGGTCAATTGGGTCACAACGCGATCCAAGCCGGAACAAATTTGGGCCACAACATCACAAAATTAGGTTTCTATTTAAGAGTGATATTTTATTATGTAATTTCTTGTTATAAAAGTATTAGGCTCCAAGGAATTGTGTTTGTAACTCTTTAAATAGATACCTAGGTTTGGGGTTAAAACTTATGAGATTGAGAGAGATGTATTACCATGAGAGAGTTGATGGGTTAGTAGAGTAGGAAAAACACCGGTGGCACCGGTAACGAGGAAATAGGCTTATAGAGTGGTACATGGTGAAAAGATATATATGTAGTGTTGTACTCTATTGTTGTTATATCTTTACGAATCATAATGGAATCTCATCTCACGTTGGCCGGTTTTGTTCGAACCACGTTATATCTTGTGATTGCTTTGTTGGCTTTCGATGGATCTCGTTGTTCGTGTATTTCCGCTACCCGAACACCGTCATTGCCAAGGGATAGATGCTATTGAACACAAAGGTGAAAAAGAATAAATTATGATATTCTCTTTTCATATCACATATGATAGTTTATAGGCTTATATATATAGAAGTGTATTACAAATTCTATCTAAGGAAAAAAGATATATACAGATCATAATTTTAAAAAAAAGTCAACTATCTAATTATAGATAATTCCTAAAAATCCTCCCTATCAACTATCTAACTATGGATAATTCCTAAAAATCCTCCCTAACTAATTTCCTAACAATTCAGCCTAGATTTTTCCACACTCCCCCTGAAACTGGCTCAAAAAAATATCTTGCATTCCCAGCTTGCATGTAAGATTGTCAAATTTCCCCTTCAGTAATCCTTAAGTGAGGATATCTGCTACCTATTCTCCTATAGGAATATAGGGCATACATATCACTCCTCCTTCCAATTTCTTCTTAATAAAGTGTTGATCAACTTCCACATGCTTAGTCCTATCATGTTGGATAGGATTGTGAACTATGTTGACTGCAGCTTTATTATCACAGCAAAGCTTCATAGGCATCGAACTTGAGATTTTAAGATCTTCAAGTAATCTTTTCAGCCACAAAAGTTCACAAATTCCATGAGCAACTGCTCTGAACTCAGCTTCTGCACTACTCCTTTCTACAACGGTTTGCTTCTTGCTCCTCCAAGTAACCAAGTTGCCACCAACATAAGTACAGTAACCTGAAGTAGACCTTCTATCCGTCACACTACCTGCCCAATCAGCATTGGTATAAGCTTCAATCCTTAGATGGCCGTGGTTTTCAAACAACAATCCTCTTGCAGGTGATTCCTTTAGGTATTTGAGAATCCGGTAGATTGCCTCAGAGTGTTCTTCTCCTAGTGAGTGCATAAATTGACTCACTACACTCACTACAAAGGCAATATCTAGCCAAGTGTGTGAAAGATAAATGAGTCTTCCAACCAGCCTTTGGAATTGCTGAGGTTCACCACTTTTTCTGCACTTGTTGCCTGCAACTTTAAATTGGGCTCCATAGGTGTTTCCACCGGTTTGCAGCTAAGTAAACCTGTCTCCATAAGTAAATCCAACGCATACTTCCTTTGAGAGACAATATCCCTCTCTTCGATCTGGCAAATTCCATTCCTAGGAAGTATTTCAAAGCTCCAAGATCTTTTATCTCAAATTCCTTTGCAAGAAAAGACTTCAAATCCTCCAATTCTCTTTCATCATCTCCGGCCAAGATTATGTCATCCACATAAATAATAGGGTAAATTACACTCAGACCCCCTGAGGTTAGGTCATTTTTCACCTATACGAAGATTTTGGTTCAACTTTCACTTACACCCCATTTTACTTTTTTGGCTCTGACGCTTATGAATTGACCTTTTTACCCTTAATTTTTTAATACAATTTAATGCAAAAAAAATCTATAATTCTAAAAGATAGAACTACCCTAATTACTCAAAAACACACCACACAAGGGAAATTTTCTATTAAATCCTACTTTTTAACTCTAAAGACAAACAAGTCCTATAAAATTTTCAAAAAGACAAGAAGGTCCTATTTTAAAAAATATTTCCAAGTAAGTTCACAATACGATATATGATGATTTTTTTTCCATTATTACCCTTTCCAAATGCTATGCTATCTTGCACTCTCCCCAAACGAGTAACACCATATAGACACACAACAGCGAGAAAGGATGTGAACGGTGAGTAATAAATTTGCCGGAGATAATCAAGGACTCCTCAGCGGACGGCGAGCAAGGATGACTGTGAAGAGGACGGCTGCTAGAGATGTTCCGACGACGGACTCTGGCTAAGAGGGACGCACGGACTCAGAGGCATTGAACTGCGCTTGAACTGACCAGTGATAATGTTCATACTGGCGAACACAAGGACGGCGGAGACGATGATGGCTAGCGAGGTGTGCTCGGCGATAAGTGGGTATGTTCGGCGTGAAGCTTGTATGTATGCCAACAGTGGATGACTGCGGTGGAGCGACGGCGGCTGCTTTGGAATGCCAGCTGGAAGTGGCGAGCTTGGATGATGGTAGCGGCGATGCAAGTGCCCGGCAAGAATGAACCGAAAGGAATTATTTGCCGTGACCGGCGATGCGTGAAGCTCGTGTGTATGCCGGAGAACGTTGACAATAGAGGAAGGCGGCAAGCTTGTGATTCAAACCCAGAATACACAAAATACCCATTTGATTTATATGTATATACATCCCAATTAATACAACCCAATCAAACCCAGAACATCTATTTAGTTTATATGTATATTCATTCGTGTACATATATGCAAAGAGAGAAGATGGATGTTCTTCTGTATTGGATTGAGTTGAATTGTTAATTTTTTTTTTGTCCCTTTTTGTGTGATGGATGGATTATGGATGGATGAATTTGAGTCAATGGATGGTTGAATTAAACAGATCCAGAGGACAATTAAAGGTGTGTTGTCATTGATGGATTATTGGTTAGCTCTTAGGATTGTTCTGGTAAATCCTTTTGACAATTTCATCGGAGCAGCTAGGTGTTAGAAGAAGAAGTCGCCGGAAAACATGGAGTTAGCTGGAGAAGAGAGGAGAGTTGCTATAGGACTTTTAGTTATAAGACTGTGCTGGAAAGGGTAATAATGGAAAAAAAAAAAATCATAATTTACATAAGCTGAACTGATTTGGAAATATTTTTCAAAATAGGACTTTCTTGTATTTTTGAAAAAAATTTAAGACTTGTTTGACTTTAGAGCTAAAAAGTAGGACTTATTAGGAATTTTCCCAAGAAATAAGAGTATAGCAAAGGTCATTGTCAGGAAAGAAAAAAAAAAATAGCAAAGACAATGGTTATATGGTTGCATGCAAACATTTGCTTGTAAGGTCACTTGGGGGTATTTTTGTTATGAAAAAATTGAAACACACTTTTTTAAGTCAACATGTGGTCAAAAGAGTAGAATAGTCATTTTATACCTAAAAAGTACTCTGACATCACTACAAATTGACATTTGGGTTATAAGTGAAATTCGAAATCACTCTTTCAAATATGAGTGAAAATTAAAACCAAAATCTTCATCTAGGTGAGAAATGATCTAACATCAGGGGGTCTAAGTGTAATTTACCCTAAATAATAAGTATGGCTATCTTACCATCACTTGAATGTTCGTAGAATATAGTGTGATCAGCCTGACTTTGACGATATCCATGGCCCTTGATAGCTTTAGTGAATCGATCAAACCATGCTCTGGGTGATTGTTTCAATCCATATAGCGATTTCTTCAATTTACACACCTTTCCAGCTCCATAACCACTTTCAAATCCTGGTGGTAGATTCATAAACACTTCTTCCTCTAGCTCACCATTTAAGAACGCATTCTTTACATCTAACTTGTGCAATGGCCTACTTAAGCTTGCAGCAAGAGACAACAGCACCCGTATGGAATTTACCTTTGCCACTGGGGCAAAGGTTTCCTGGTAATCTATTCCATGTGTTTGGGTGAAGCCT